ACTCGGTTACATGGCTTGTAGTGTAGGCTGGGACTTGATCTAACTACTTTTATAAATTATTATTTTTGGCCAAAATATATGCAAATTAATATTAGTTTAGAAAAATTAAATTTGTTAATAAAATTAAATATTAGTTTATTTACTGGTGAAGCATAATTTCAGGCCTTAACTGAAATATAATAATAATAAAAAAATATAAATAAAAAAATTTAAAATTTAAATAAAAAATCAACTGTTTCGCACACACATATATACAAACATACACACTTTGCTACATTTGCCAGCTAATAAATAATATAAAAATATATTGAATTATTGTTTTGCGCTTGTAGCTATTCAGACTATCTGTCAGCACTGGAACAAAAAGATTACCAAACTGTTTTTAATAGTTGCGATGAATAATAAAAATTTGTCAACATACGAAGAATTCAGTACAAAAGGCGAACAAGTGAAATAAATTTCATTTCAGCAACAAATCGTCTGCATTTGATTTGAAATTATTTAGAAGTGATACATAACACAAAATGTGTATCTTAATTTATAACCACAATTCTGAATTTCGAATGTATGAAATCTAGTATCTGTTGCGGTAATCGTACGCTAGTAGGTGAGTTGCCGAGTTGCCGAGTTGCGGATAAACAGTCGATTACGTTGGGATGCGCCGAGATATTTCGCGTGAGTTAAGCAGCAACATGTTTCGTTGGCAAAGTGCCCAAAGCCACTAAATTGTCAATATGACTAATTTGTAGGAACATTCTAATATTTTTCTAATATTTGCTTTGCATGAAAAATACAATAAAAATATACAAAAGCATTAAATTTATATTGAAACCCATTGTGTACGTGCTAAAGAAATATTTTTATGTGACGATCCCTTTAAATGCTGCTGAACACCTTAGAACAGAGAAAACATAGACCACATAGACCACAACAACTCAACAATTCTTTTTGACAGCTGCAGTTAATACGATTGCTTGTTGAACATAAATTGGCTCTTAACATTAAATTTCAAACAAAGTATCTATTCTGTATCTATGCGAGAATTAAACTGCCTATGCGTCTATGCGGAAATATCTTAGATGTCTTAGAGGACGTTGTGATGATGCCTTAAATGACACAACAAATGTGACCTTTTGTACAACATTTAAACTAAGTGGGCTAAGAGTGTAGTTCAGTTAAATGAATGAAAAGCATTAAACGAAATGTCGCCTTTTAAGTGCCGGCGTACATTTGAAGAATGGCGCTACTTAATCATTCCCCATCAATGGCCACGCGACGGCTAAAGAGTTAAGCGTAAATAGATATATTTTCATTTGAAACAATCTTGTTTGTTGCTGTTTTGAATGAATTGCATATTTGCATACATAATTGCCTTCATTCAAGTGCAGTGTGCATTGGGTTCTCCTTAAATGGTTTTGTTGTCATTAGAGAAAGATGAAAAGATTTACAATAAATTCAAACGTATTAAGCCCACAATCGAATCTAGCGAATCGGGCGTGTATTGCCTTATATATATACCAATACAATAAATATACATATTCAAAATTATTAATTATTTAAATTTAAAAACAGAATAGCTAATAACTATTTACGATTTGTAGTACTTTTGAGTTGTTGTAACACGTGTAAGTGACATTGTAAAGGAATTAAGTATGAACACATATACCGAAATTTCAACTATTTTCATTAAATATTTATATTAGCAATATAATCCAAATTGAATGACTAATTGTCCAAGACCAACTAAATATTTTCAATTAAGTAATTTTCTTATTATTTACTTTTAAAACATCTAAACTACTAAATTATTCTGCAACTTAATGAGAAGGATAGCAACAAAATCCTCAACGCAATAGCGGGTACTTTTAATAGCACCCAATATATAGGTAAACAAATTGGTGTGGATCTGTATGGGGGAGATGAGTGAAAACTTTTCGTTTCTTTTACGGTCAGTTAAATGAGTGGATTTTAATATATATTGTAGGCAGAGGCGAGGCATCGAATGGTTCAGAGTGTTCACTGAACACCTTAACAAAGCTTCCTTTTTAGATTTTTTTTTATTAGGTAAATAATCTCGCTATATTGCTACTTAACATTTTTTATAATAGCTTTTCCAAACAGATTAACATAAACACAAAACGTAGAATACAAACAAAATCTCACATATGTTAGATACACCCAACATTGCTTATAATTAATAAAAAAGAAAACACATTCCTCTTGAAATATACTAAGGTTCAGAAAAAAACTGCACCGCGTTGCTTACAAAGCATGCAAATGAAATAACATTCACATTGGGACTATGTTCAATATTGAATACACAACACAAAACATACAAACAAATATATGTACGTAAAATAATCTTAACTCTTAGATTAATGCGTGCAAGCGGTTCAATATGTTATGCAAAGTAAATACAAAAGAGAAAAGAAATGACTGAGCGAAAATCGCTTTACATTTGACGAGAGGTTCATTCCATTAAACTGAACCAAAAGTTTATACAAAGCGTGCAAATACAATCAAAGTCACGGTTGCTGTTTTATATGGGCAAATGGTTCAGTAAAAAAACTGAACCGGGCATTGTAAATACAAAGTAAAAGAGTAAATGAATGCATGAGAGTTTCTTACTCTTATGTAGAGGTTGGAAATAAATCAAAACAAAGTCATTATTGCAATTTTATATTAGCAAATAGTAAAAGTAAAGAAAGAAATTAAAGAAATTTGAAGTGAAAAATAATATTTAGAAATGGATAAATGTGTGATTAAAGATTTGATTAAAAGATTTTAATCCATAAAATGAATAAACCAACTCCAGATATGAAGAATTTGATACCTGTTGTAAAAATGTCGAAATCTATGGTAAGTCGTCGTTTTCCTACAGCTACAGCTTTATGGTAAATAAAAACCAGTGGATCACATGCTGCGAACATTTAAATAAATTGTTTTGTTGGTTTTGTACGCTATTTGCTTGTGGAAAGGACAAAACTTAGAAGTAGGGGGAATACGTTATAGTTGGAATTCTGTTTTGATTAAATTGTGAACACCTTGCCACAAAACTGACGCCTCGCTACTGATTGTAGGTACGTAAAGAAAGAATATAGTGAAATAACATATTTTTGTATCAGAGTAGATATAAATATATACAACTATATGTATAAAAATTATTTTTATTAGTTACTTATTTGAACTCAACTGAAATTTAATAATAATATTTTGAAGAATCAACTTTGAGGAATATGTTTTTGACATTATAATTTGTTTTAGGTATTTATAAATATTTTAAGTTATTGGTAAGAATCAATATCCAAATTACAAACAGCTACAGATTCGTTAGACAATTGGACAAAAAGATGGTGTATCAAACTGAATTCTGCTAAATCGGTTCATGTAGATTTTACAATTAAAAATATACAGTACTTTCCTATTTCGATTCAAGGTACTCAGATACCATATGCCAACACTGCAAAATATCTTGGCATAACGTTGGACGCAAAACTACGATGGAAGGAACACATAAAAAAGAAAACTTGGATATGAAGTTGCGAAAAATGGATTGGCTGATTGCCCGCAAGTCCACACTATCTATGCCAAACAAGATTCTGCTATACAATTAAATTTTAAAACCTGTATGATCGTATGGCGCTGAACTATGGGGGAGCGCTAGCCAAAGTAACGTCGAAATAATCCAACGTTTCCAGAACAAGGTTCTACGGAACATTTTAAAAGCGTCATGGTACATTAGGAACAGCGATATACACCGATATAAAAAATAAGAAAGAGAGCAACAAGTCACAAACTGAGATTGCAGCAACATGTTAACACAGAAGCTGTTAACATCATAACCTCGCATGGACGACCAAGATGACTAAAACGGCGAAATGTCGCCGACATGGCATTGAATTAGAATGTTAAGTAATTTCTGTAGAAAATTGCTTATTTATATATATATAGTATTGATCAGATTCAAGCTACTCATTGGGAACTACTAATGGAAAAAATATAAAAAACCGAAGAAAAAATATTTAAAAGAATTTATTTATGTTATTCGCCGAACCTGTAAATATAGTACGTATAACTAGAGGAATGCAGTTTAACCAAATGTACTTCGCAATCATACCGACAAACAACACTTTTCCATTTTCTAAAATCAAGTGTAAATGAGAATCGATTAAATTTAATTGCAAATAGCCTTTAACAATAATGGAATAATTAGAGTCCAATGCGCAGATTTACAGATGTAAACATGTTTAGCAAACATCCAAAGCGACGTCGATATTTGCTACTTGAAGTGTCGTCACAATTTCCGTAGGCGGGTCAGGCCCATAAAAGTGACTTTGTTACGTTTTGCGTTCAAATTGCTTGCAAACAAATTGCTTGTCATATCAGATGAGATGTATCTATGTGAATAATTAACTCGACAAAGTGTGTAAATGTGTACATATGCAAATTGTCAAAAGGTACAAATTTGGCAAATTTGTATCAAAAACGTATGAGCAGCCACAGAGCTAACATTTCAAAGCCAAATTTGGATTTTTTTTTTGGAAATTGGTTGTGCGAATTTTCGGATTTCCGTTCAGAAAGCGTATAAATCCAATTAAAATCTTTGTTGTCATATTTTACTATATCAAAACAAAAAGAAAAAGCAGCAAAAATATTTTAAATAAAAAGTTTATTTAAATTAGTTCAAGAATTTAAATAAAAGGGTTACTATAAATTAATTATTTATTCTATGAACTGTATGGATTATTTTTGTTTCTCTGTTTCTTTTTTTTTTTTTGTGTTTTGAAAACATGTCAGTGTAAACAAACCCAAAAGAATCTCCAACCCACATGAGACCAGTAAACGTTTTTATAAACAATAGCTACTGAAGCAATTGTTGTTTGCCGCACTAACACATGATCCATACATCACTACAACAACAACAATTAAAAGTTTATAAATTAATTCGCAATTCTGTTTCATCACAAAGCCAAAGCTGCCGCTCCGAAATATATAAAAAGACTGTCAGAGACCTTTTCCGAGTTTATTTGCACAGTGCAAAAATCGCGAGCGGTCGTACGAAGAGTTTTCATCGGTCATTTTGAGTGTGTCAAAAACGAATATTTTCGAAATAATAAAAAAAGTTGAACTGTTTTGATCCTTATTGAATAATCTCATAAAAATGGCAGTAGTGCCCGCTTCAAATTATTCGAATGATTTGGATTATTGGGATTATCGTAGACGTTTATGGCGTGATTGGGATTTAATTGATTGGGATGTGCCCTATTGGAAACGATTGGCACGTGTAGGTTCAGCACCAGATTTAAGTCGCGTTATTGTTGGCAAAGATGGATTTGAGGCTTGTGTGGATGTACATCAGTTTAAGCCCTATGAAATCACTGTAAAAACAATAGCGGACACCGTTATTGTAGAAGCTAAGCATGATAAGCGACGCGATGGTGACAGTTTTGTAGGACGACATATTGTAAAGCGGTTTGTGCTGCCGCGTGGACATTATCCAAATGATGTCCGTTCAGAACTTACATCTGATGGCATACTAGTGGTTAGATGTCCTCCAACATCGCAAGCTGAGCGCAGTGTCTATGTGCGCCAAGTTGGTCCATATCTTAGCATTAAAAATTAATTTTAAAATTGAGAAGATTTTATAAAAGACTTTGATGTGAACCAAAATCAAAAAATTATAATTACAAATATCACTTAATTTTTTGAAGTGTATTCAAATTAATTTAAATAATTTTAAGTTTGACAATAAATTGTTAGTTTGTTCTATTTTAACTCTCAAATAAATTACTAAAAATATTTATTAGTTAAATATTTTGGACTCTTTTTAATTATTATTACACTTTTGATTTTATTTTAATAAAAATACATAAGTTCGCCTAACTTGTTATGGAAAGTGTAGTGTTGTTTGTTATTAACAAAATTTAATAAAATTAAAAAAATAAAAATATATAAAAATTAATAATGTGTTTAATTAGTTTGAAATTTTTAAAAATTGCTGAAAATAGAAATTATAAAACACTAAAGTGATTTTAGCAGTATGGTAAGAGTTCTGCAGACAAGGACAAAATATTTTTAAAATTCATAATAAAAAATTTATAATTAAAATAAGTTTACTTATGAATTGTATATGACCTCAAACTAAAAGTGATTTGAAGAGCTGTTACCTAAGATACTTTCTTCCTGAATCAAACAGTAACAAAATTTGTTATAGATATTTAATATAAATAAATAAAAATTGTACTTAATAATATTGTCGATTTATTAATACAGTGACCCACTGTATAAGTGGAATCCAAGGATATCTGTAATAACCGAACGTTAATATGAAATAAAGTTCACACAGGATTTGAAAATTTATCTCGCCAACTAATTCTGTCTTTGCTTTAATTATATTTGTCTTTCTGTCTGTTTTGTCTTTCTATCCAAAGACTACATTGTTCTATTTTATAAAGTTATTAGACCCTAAATAACTTTATTAACATTATGGATACTTACTAATAAATACTTGAATTTTGTTTATCATGGAGAGAATGTAAAGTACATCTTTAATCAAATATTTTAGTCAAATATTTTGGTTAGTATCCAATACTTAAGTAAATACTTCATAATATTCTTAAGTATTCTTCTTAAGTAAATACTTCATACTCTCACAAATGAAAGTCATGCTATTACCATTTGTAAATAATTAGATTAAGCATTCAATTCAGTTCGACAACTGAATTTCTATTTATTTTAATTCGCTGAATAAATGCTACTCTCCTCCACAAAAATTTTTCTATCTCCATGAGTGCATTTCTCCTATTATTTGACTGTTTTATAAAATTTTTAAAAATTTTATATTTTTTTCCTAAAATGTTTCGTTTCACAGACTGGAGTGCATAAGTCCATTATATTTTTAATAATTAAGGTAAAGAATAGCTGACAGAAAAATAGTGCTGTAAAATATCAATAAAGTACCATTTGGTACAACTGCTTGAATATGTATATAAAGAGTACTCTCACAAGCAGAGTTGAGTTATATCAAAGTTTAATACATTTTTTGGAAAACTCATCTTCCTTTTCGCAATCCATTACTTTATCAGGTGTTTCGTGTACAATACTACATTTCGCTGAAGTTAATAATAAGTATATTGATTAAATAATTTAATTTTGCTTTAAAAAATTGTACATAATGAAGGCAAAAAAGAACACAGATTTCTTTCTTCACAGAAAGAAGCTTAGAAAAACGATTGTTGTTAAACACTACTTATAGAAGAACACAAGCAGTGTTCGAATTTTACAGACCTTCTCAGCCTTGGTCATGTTTAACATTCCATGTATAATAACCTTGTATAAGACACTTGTTGCAATCTTTTTCAGCATGGAAGGAATCTAGCCTAACCAATTAGACTTTTTAGATATCGTTTAGTAGCAACGAATCTATAACTCTATATTATATATGCACTCCATAATTATATGGTCTGGACTTTCAATGTTATTTGTAAAAAAACAAAAATTGGAATTGTTTGTAGGCTCGAACCGATATTACGAATTATGAAAGCACCAATGTTCAGTTAGAAAGAATGAATGAATGTTATGACTAAGTGTAGCACAGCGACCGTATAGTTTACTATGCTCCTTTCAGTGACTTAGATTTATTCTCTAAGTGTTAGTTTCTTAGTAACTAACAGTATTTGTCATATTTTTCGGAATAGTAAAGCGTATTTACCCAAAAGTTTCGTTCGATTGCACTTTGGTGCAGAAGACTTTTCGAAGTTGTATCTTATTTTCTAGTAAAGTAGTTTCTTCCAACTATTTTTCAGTGCAGGGTAACTGCAACACGATTCTCAGTTTGTTTATCTTATAGATTATAATTATATTTATAAATCTAATTATTTATATTTATAATTAATTCTAGTAATAGTAATATTTTTTATTTTAATATATTATTTAAATCTTATCATATATATTTTTTAATAAAGGTCTTACGAGAAAGGTATATAAGGTATACAATTTTATTCATAAGTGGAATAATATATAATTTTCTGTTATTAAATAAAAAAGAAAAGAGGAAAATATATTTTTCACAGTACATAAAAAACAAGAAAAAAATCTTCATCCCATAAATAAATCCAATAAACTACAAATAAAATTTTTTCCGCATTTCCTTATAAGTAAAAAACATTTTAGACTGAACCCCTCGTAAATTCATTCAATCAAAGTTCAACGAAGTCGAAGCCTAAACAAAAGAGTGTTCCAGTTCAGTGGTTGCGTCTTAATAATTGTCAAGAAAACTAAAGTAGAAAGCGAAGTGTGACGTCAAACATTTTTCAATATCTGGAAAGGTCCCTTATAAAAAAAATTTTATTATGTGATAAACATATATAAAATTACAATATAATATAAATGTAAATATTTAATACTAAAATATAAATTAATTTTATTTATTTTTTTTTTGAAAGAGTATTTATCACATTTCTCTATTTTGAGAAATTCACTGGGTTCTAAGGTCAACTGCAGGCATTGAATTACTATTCGAGCGTAAAATAAAATTGATCGATTTTATTTATATATTTTATTATCGATAACTTAATTGTTTATTGGAATGCTTTGATGCGATGTGTAATTCACATTTTTTTTAGCAAAAGTATAATAAACTTTGTTTTCTAGTGCCAAATAAGATTAAATAATCATTGCCTCCCGCCTACATCAATTCAGAGTTTTATTAGCAATTGTTTTGTTTTTATATAGTAAAAACCAATTTGTAAAGCTTGGAATTTGTTTTTATTCATAGTGTAATCGTATTTTTAGATATGTTTAAAAATACCTGTATTTTTAATTTAGATTTTTATTTTAAAAATTTTTTGCACACATTCATTGTGATATTCATTCTAAATTTTAGTAAATATGCATAGAATAGAGAAGTAGAATACAAATAACCGGGGTTATAGGTTACAGTAAAGTGAGGAACTGCGACCATTGTAGATATTTTATGCTATCAACTGACACTAATCTAATCACAGAATAGGTAGTTTTTCGAATGAATATCAAAATAACAGCTTTGGATTTCCTAATAGCAGTATAGGAAACGAATTGCAACCCTGGTATTATATATCGGACCCAGATTAATGTTATTTATCATAAAGAATGTGATTAGTAGAAGTAAGTACGAATAATCAGAAGAAATTTAAATACATCTCTGATTAGAAAATTTACCTACATATATTATCTATGTATAATCTTTAAATAAAGGGTTTAGATAAATTGAAAAGACTTGAATTTAATATATTTTATGTCCATATAATTCATAATATTTTAAGTTTTGGGTGGATTCAGTTAGAATGGCAGTCTTGCATATCAAAGCGTATTTCAATTCAAATAATGGTCCGTTATAGAAACATTGTTTAACTGGTGCGCTTCTTCTCCAATTTGGATCAAGTGGGTTATGAGGCCTGATAAGAATCGTCATCTACCTAAGTTTTTTAGTTACTCTAAGTATTTACGTTTAATGGCCAGCTTAGTCGTTGTAAATGAGATACGAGTTACAAAGTTGTGAATTCCACAGAAAACCTTCTTTGGTTTAGCATCTTTGTCTACTTTGCAGTCGCCCGAAATGTCTTTATTGCTAAATTCCACTATACAATAAGTTGAAAACCGACATAAATAGGCACCTTCTTTATAAAAACCTGACTTTCTTAAACTGCTTAGGAATGTAGTTTTAGTGTTCACTTGTGATTTGATAAACTGTAATGTTTACATCAAAAAAATTAAATAGATTTAAAAAAAATGATCCAAATGACTCTCAGGTCAAAAATACTTTATATCTAATTACCATTTGGTAATTAGATATTTGGGTTTTAAGGAAGTTTTTGTCTGCGTGAATGATTTTTTGTTCTACTAATCACACATAATCAAAAACTTCTTGAAAAAAATTTACAAAAGGATGTGACCAATCGTCTTCATTAATCTTCAATATTATTACTAAATCTTATAGATTTGTACTGAGGAAATTATTTAAGCATTGTAAATTCGTTGCTTCAAGTTTATAGAATTTTTTGATTTGTCAAAAACTACTATATGATGCTAGGCTTACTTTTTTATCGTAAATGTAGCATGGGTATTCTTAATCCCATTCTTGAGAAGTTGTTTCTCTGCGTGAGGCCCTATACACCAGTGTTTTAAAACGACTGCTATTGACAATACGAGTGCTTATACATTTCGTCTAACAACCGATTATTTGAACAAAACGAATTGTTGGGAAATCTGCCGTACAGACTTCATTTGTCACCCAAGACTTCTTCTTGTTTCCGAAAGTAAAGAAAAAATTGTGTGGACAACGATTTTTGTCAGCGAAAGCAAGAATGGAGCCGTTGTTGCATTTAAAAACCATGTCTTGAAGAAGATTGGAAAAAAGCTTTGACAAATAATGGAGAATACTTCGAGAAATAATAAAGCAATTTTCAACGACAAGTTAGTTAGTAAGAAATATATTTCATTTATTGGTAAATACTAATTTGTCGAAAGAAACTCTAATTTGTGTGAACCATCAGTTCTCTAAGTGTTTAAGCACTCTAAATACTGATAAAAAAAATATTTGATTGGAAATAGATAGATAGATAGATAGATTCGAAGTTCATATATATGAAATAATAATAATTTATAAAAGCGTTGCCTTTAAAAATCCAATTTCTATGAATTTTTTCCTTGTATTTACAAAAATGGAATAGAATAAAATTTATAATTGTAGTAATAATAATATTTTTTACCTAATCATGTATATTGGCAAATAGAAATCGCATATATAAAAATTATTCCGTTTAAGTCTTGAATCGCTGAAGGCGTTAAAGGCGTACGTACGCGTTCTTATTAACTAAAAGCGCAATTAAATTTTGTAATTCTTTAGATAAAAGATACTTTTTTCACCTATAAATATTTCATTCAATGTCAATGTCAATGAAATTACTAAAATAAGTAATGTGACTGCTATAATTATATGTAATCGAAACAAAAAATTAATTGTTGAACACAATTTATTGAATTTAAACATTTGCTAATAAAATTTTTAAAATGTTTATGACTTTTGTAATTTCTTTAATAATTTTTTAAAATTCTTTTCAACATTAGCTATCAGAATCTAACAAAAGTTCAGTTGAGGAGGCGTATATACGAGTATCAAAGCAAGAAATAGGCATAAAATTGTGTGAAATATATTGTTTGTTGTTCTTTTTGATAGCTCAGATACATTTTCTTATATCGCTCAGATACATTTTAATTTTTTTAACAGCACCGCCGTAAAAATAGTTTGTCACATGGACACAAACAAAATCTTTCAGAACTTTACGGTGACGACTGCTGTACGTTAGGTGTTTGTATGGAGCGGCAGTAATACCATAAGAAATTTTTATGTCAACAGAAATTTTCCCACTTCATCTGAGAAGAGAGAAAATTTTATATCTAAAGAATCATTCATTCATTTCATTAAAATAGTTTTTCTTCTTTATCTCTTTTCCATATGCCTTTCCTGTGAACTTTGGAGACACTTTCCTCTGCTGATCTCTTCGCAACAGTGAAGTGGACTGACTATATGTATGGCATCAAAGGCGTATCTTAACTTCAGTCATTTTTCGGCTCTCGGAACGTGTAGAAGATTTGAGGTAAATCGCTTAAAACGTAACAAATGTTTTGTGAAAGTATCATTAATCCTGTCTGATGTGTCACCATATACAAATCCAAAAAGATATATAAAAATATTATTTCAGTGTTTAAAAATAATATTTTGTGGATAAAAAAAAATTAAAAAGTGTTTTTATAGTTTTAGTTCAGGCAAAGGAAATGGGCAATATATTTTTCAAAATTTATTGTTTTTTGTTTTCTAATAAATAAAAAGTGAATTAAAAAATTGAAATGAAATCTAAAAATAATATTATAAATTTTCTTATTTAAGGTGAATAACTACGAGTATACAATGAGATAAAAATTATTTTTATTTTATTTTTAAAAAAAAATATTTTATAAAAATACTCTAGTCTAAAGGATTAAATATGACGCGATTTCTATTTTTATTAGCTGTAGTAGCAGCGACCTGCAGCGGTAAGCCAATTTATTAAAATAATTTTTAAATATTATATTCACTATTTAAATTTATGTGAATACATAAAACTAGAGATTAAAAAAACTTTTGACTGAAAAGTTGTTTTTTAAAATAACATTAAAATTTTAATTATATTTAAAAAAGTTTTTACTGATTTTCTTAATAAAAACTTGGCGAATATATATATTGAAAACTAAATAATAGTAGAGCGCTATTCACGATCCTCAGGAATGAGTTCGGTAACTTGGTAAGAAAGTAACTGTCCAAAAAGACAAATACTATTTGAGTATTTTTTTTGTTTTCACCTATTTATAATGATGTTCTTCGGTTACTGAACTCATTTGTCGGGATCATGAAGTCCACTGTATGGGATATTAAAATGGTGTATACATCTTCTTACTATTATTCTCGACGGTAACGAACTTTACTTTTTCCGTTTAAACTATTTTTGCATTATTTTATAAAGTGTAATATTATTTAGAAGTGGAAAGTACAATCTAATACCTTTCCTAATAAATATTCTGATTATTCAGTAAACGTAGTAGTTAATTAGGTGTTTTAGGTATTAGGTATTACGTATTTTTATTTTATATTTGCATAATAAGTACAATACAGTTTTGGCTTTTCTAACAATATTCCTCCTAACGATTCCTCACAACCGTATTCAAGTTGTTTATGTTAATTCCGTTCCTATCAGTTCTTATTTCATCAATATATCAAAATCGAGGATATCACATAGTTCACATTGCTATTCGAAAAAAAAATACCACATCTTGCTGGTTATGACTAGTCTATTTTATTCTCTGAAGTTTGAGTGCGGCTTTTAACCCTATATCTTGCAATGAAACCAAAATTTCAGCATTTGTTTTTATTCGGTACTTTTCTACTTCTCCACTAACGTTACTAACTCATACATATTTCTGTATAGATAGTTACAGTTCGTAGATTTTTCATTGAAAGATTTTATAAGAAATTCAATTCAAAACCGGCTGTACTGTTATTACCTATATATGGATATACAGAGCTACTGTGAATTAACTATTTGAGTAAAAATGTATATAAATTAACAATGTAAGTTTAAAAATGTATATAGATAAAAATGTAATCGATAAAATTTTAAATAAAAACTTTATTAAATTTTAGTTTTTCAATAATCAAACTGATAAAATGATCTTATCATCAATCTAAACCATTACTTGTTTTATTTTTTTCTATATGTCCCTGTATTCGCATGAGTCTCAGAGATGATCGAATCTTAACCAAAGTAAAGGAGGTGCATATAACATTATTGCTTACTATCCTCGTGTTCCAAATGTCAACTATTTAATGGAAAAAATAAATTTAAAAATTAAAAATAATAAAATTTATAATAGTAAAAATAATAGAAAAAAATTAGTTGAGATTATCTTGTATGTGTACAAGACATTGTGCATTATGGGATATATGTTCCTTTTTAGGCAGTTTAGAAGATAATTAAGGTTTACATACAAAATTCTCCAATTAATTATCCAATTAATATGTAGATGGACGGACAACAATAAATCGAATTGTTCTATAGTTATATAAATATCTATTGTCTATTATCCCGTTTTTACCAGTTATAGTGAGGACTTAAGTATTGCTCAAATCTTATCACACCAGTTAGATTTGTTGATTTGTGTTAATGTCGATCAATTCGTTTCTGTGGTATATTTTATATACATATGTAAAAATGTATGCATCGCATATATTGAGCTGAGTTCAAAATTAAAAAACCGATTTAAATACTTTGTACTGGGTTTTTGTTAACCCAACAAAGCACACTTCTGTTGTAGACTTCAATCAATAGCTCGGTCATAATTTGAGTAATGTACGTTTTTTAAAAATAGGGGTTCAGGAACTGTCCGCATCAATACAACCATTTACTAAACCTCACATTTGTCTGGTGGTGACAAATTGCATTCTATGGTACTATGATATTTCCACTTCTGTAGCTTCAATATCTCGTCAAGATAGTGAATGTAGCAATCGGAATTCAACGCTTTCGTCACACCTTTCCATTGTCGAAAAGATGGCATATTCATCAGACATATCTTTCAATAATTATTATACCTTTTGTAGATATATATTTCAACCGTTATTAGTTAAATTCACTAAGTTTTGTTTGTTGACGTCTTCACTAAGCGAAAAATTACCCCCGTACTGAAGATAAATTTGATGTAAAAAATTATTACCATTTTGTTATAAGTTTTTAAAACTTAAGCATATTTAGAACTCCACATTATAAAATGGCAAATATCAAACTAAACATAAACAGTATTTTTTTTTGCAGACAATATATTATTGAAAGGGTTGTACTAAATCAAGACAACGAAACCCTTACTATAAATAAACGAAATCTCTTACTATAAATGTTTGTAGTATGTACTAACTAAATAATATATAATAATATATAATATATATATATAACATATAATAATATATAATTAATATATAATTTGTTATATCTGTGAATAAAATTTTAATAGTCATCATTAAATTTATTTTAAATACAGTCTTGAACCTATATTTAAAGTTTTCGGAATTACACTATCTTTATTTAATCTTTTATCCTCATATATTGGAAAAGTAATATTTACTTAATTTCTGCAGTTTATCCAAATGAATTAATATAATTTCTATAAAAGAACTTGAATAGAATGAGACATATTAACTATAAATATTATACACCAAACATTTTTATACACAAAGACACCGGCCGGCCTCCAAACTGTGAGAAAAGAGAACATTTCAAATAAATTAAATGGAAAATTTAGAATCATTAATCATGTACGAGGGCGGAAAGGAAAAGTTTAATATTTTAATATTTTTAAAAAACATTAAGATGTAGATAGGTTACTTCATGTCTAAATTCTAATAAAATATTTGTTTTTATTCTCTTAAAAGTATTGTTTAATTATTAATGCCTTTTTTTATTTATTTTGTTTTCTGTAATATAATTATTATTTAAAAAACTGCAAACAATAAGTTTTTAAAAGTTTACTACAAAATAAAGTCAATTTAAAAACAAAATTTATTGCTTGTAATTTAAGATTAAACTTCAGAAGAAAGATCCAGAAGAAAAGCAGAGAAGTTATACTTTTGAAAATTTTAGAATACAAGTTGGTCATTGCGTTGTTCTGGTGTTTCTTTTATTTTAAAATTTTTGAATAGTAATTATTTTTTTGTGTTTTTTAGTACTTTTTTTTAGTACCACACGTTTTCTAGCAAGTTTTTAATTAAATAATTTTATGGTGGCTTTCTTGTTTTTCGAATTTTAAAAATACTTCAAGTTCATAAAAATGTATTCAATTTTATTTCCGAATCTTATTTATTGAATCTAACTCTTGATCCTTCAAACAAAAAAAAAACAAATTTTAGGTTTTTTGACTTACCAACAACATCTATGGAACCATAAAGGAAGATTATGACATTTCTCTTTTGTCAAAAGTTTCGACAAAATCTGTAAAATAATTACTTACCGAATAGAAAACATTAATAATAAGAAATAAATTAAATTCATCTATTTTATATAAATGAAATCATAATTGAAAAACCCTATATCGCTATATCTTCAATGTAACACCAAAGCAAATCATCTTAAATGACAATATATAATTATTGATGGTTACGTTATTAAAAGGTCAGTACTTCAACACGTTAAAAATAATAGCAAGTATTAAGGAATATAATACATCTCGAAGAGGTAATCATATGAAACAATCGATTTTGTTTATCCGGAAAAATAAATATTTGTGATTATTATAACAATAGTTATAATATTAGAATCAGTGTTACATAGAAATGTTCGAATCCTTAATTTTGATTTTTCTATAACTCATATTATACAAATGGTAGCAATTATCAAAAAATTATCACTGAACTCTTGTTGTCATTCTTGATGGAAACCTAAGGTGCAGCTGTAACATATAGTGCACGGTAATATTCCTTTGTTTGAAAACCTCACTACACTAACTCAATAAATATGAATATATATCTTACTATTATAATTCAATAGATTTGTATGTCCAATTAATTAAGATAGTATAAATCCTAAACCTTGGGTTAGTTTCTTTATCTTTTTTTTTTGCAACTTACACTCTTTCTTATTTTGTTTATATTCTACTACACTGTCCATGATTTCATCATTCATCCATACTTCTCATCATTAACTCTCCTCTGAAAGAAATTTCAGTTGAGCATGTCCTTTAATTCTGGACTACCAAAATAGCAATCAAAAGATATTTAATCATTTTTGGAATAAATGAGATAAACAGATTTATCTCATTTGGATTTTATTTACTAAAACTGGCAAATAATCGAAGGTTAAAATGATGTTTTCGGATTATCTGTTTCCTTTCTTAACATTTCAATGGTAAATAAACAATAAGACCCCTAACGTACTCTATTGCTGATAGGTTGAACTGATAATGAGTGCTTCTCAGTTTTAAAGTGATGTGTTACTGAAAGCAAGTAATAAATTATAATAATATGTTATATATTTCGGACAATATTAAAGGTATACAAAATAAAATATATTTTTTCCAAAATTTAATGATTTAAGACTATTACAAATGAAATATTATATTAAATTTGATTTTTAAAGTCAATTATAATAAAGGAAACCATGTTTCTTAATAATGAGTAATTAACTCTCTATTAATGAAATGTTATATTGTAGTGTACTATATTTCTATATTTATGTTTTCTAGTCTCATTTGCACGTTATGAGGACTGTGAAAATCCACCACAAGTCCAGCATGCAACTATTGAAATCGAAGATGATGAAGACACCATCCATGCCATATATGTTTGCAAGCCTGGTTACGAATTACAAGGAACAACTGATCTGATGTGTAATCTCGACACTGATGAATGGAGTGGCGAACCACCAACCTGCGTCAAATGTAAGTTATATGTATTCGATCTTGAAGTAAATAAATATTACTTAAACTAATTTCATAACTTAAAACGTTATAATATTCATGTAAATTTAATATTAGTGAGTTTCATGCTACAATAATAGATCAAAAGAGAGATTGATCATATGCACTATAATGGACTATAAAGATACTATATTATAGTATAAATTTATATTATTTTAGCTGAAATTTCAAATGAAATCGACACAGAGTCAGCGAGTGAACACCAAAATAAGAAGAAAAAGCAAAAGGACATACCAGAGGATCGTTCGGTAAGTGCACAACTGGCAGCAACACTCGATATGTCTTGTGCACAAGCGAAAATTAAAGCACCGGAGTTACAACATGGTTTCGTCCAAAAATACGACCGTCGTCGTAAGGGCGAGAAGGTTTTCTTAGTCGCATTTTATAGTTGTAATGATAATTTTGATTTCGAGGATTCTTCAATCAAAACACTGTACTGCAGTGAACGCAAATGGGTTGGAGAAATACCAGTGTGTGTTCGTTTAGGAGAGTACAACGAGGAAGATGAAGAAGGTTTGAGATGAGCAAAATTATTATAATACAATTTCACTAAAAAACTATTTAAAAATAATAAAAGCTGTTGCGAATTTAACTTTATTTATTTTTGCTTGCGGTTTATGTTTGCAAAAACTAATAAAATTTCTAAATAAATATTTTATTTTTAAAAAGAATATGATGAGTATGAGGCTGTTGATGAAGAAGAAGAAATTGATGAAGATGAAGAAGCTAATGGTGCTGTTGATGCTGATGCAGATGGTGATTTTGATAACAGTGTGGTTCCACCGCCGCCTCCACCACCGACAGTATCTGTTCCTGGAACAGAAGTAGTGGATGAAGAAGAAACTGACAATGAAATAAGTGTAGAACCTGTCGTTGTAATACCAGCTGTCGGGACAGTGGATGTGCAGCCAACGGTTGTAACTCCACCCGTAACTGACATTAACATTATAGTAGAGCCCACTAAGGATCCTTATACGCCACGTTTATTAGACAATAATTGCGGTACTGATAATGGTGGATGTGAACATAAGTGTGAACGTCTTTTATATCCTGGGGAAAATGAACCACGTCTCAAATGCTCATGCTTTGAAGGATTCAGTTTAGATCCAAATGACTACGCGGCTTGTCATGGTGAATCATACAAATTAATTTAATTCCAAATTTTTTCTACTGTTAACGTATTTTCTTTATTGAAGACATTGATGAATGTAAGACTCATAATGGTGGTTGTGAACAAATTTGCAATAATTTGCCCGGCTCTTATCAATGCGCTTGTGAACAGGGTTTGCAAATAGATACAATAACTGGAAACACATGTAAAGGTAAGCTTTCTGCTAGTGAAAAATATATTGGGTTTTTTATCATTTTATATCATTCATTTCATTTACAACATCATTTGACACTCACTTGTATATGTGTTGCAACTGTGTCTGCTCACATATCAAATTTGCGTTTCCTCAGACATAAATGAGTGCTTTTTACGTAACGGTCATGGGCCATGTCAGGACACTTGCCACAATCAATGGGCTGGTTACAGGTGTTCGTGTGAGGGTCTACCAGGCACTCAATTGTCAGCTGACAATCACACATGTGAGGACGCTGGTGAATGTGCTAATAACAATGGGGGTTGTTCGCATATGTGCCTTTCATCGTTGGGACGTATTTTTTGTCTTTGTCCAAATGGTTTCCAAATGCCTATCGATGGAAAGAATTGTCAAGGTGTGTGCCGCAAAAACTTGATAACAATCGAAAAGAACACTGATTAATTGACTCTAATAACAACTTTTTTCAATTTTATTTAATTTTCTATTTAACTAATTTGCACTACATCAAGGCGACTCTGCTACTTTATTCTCTTCCCTCATTTACAAATTATAGTCGAGATTTTTTTAAATTCTTTGAATTACATTGGCTTTCTATTTCCAGATATCAACGAATGTGAACTGCCCGAGGTGAAAGCAAATTGCGCAGGCGTTTGTGAGAATACACATGGCTCTTACAGATGTGTGCCTATCCTTAATAATAAAGAGGAGATAGAAGATGACAACGAGGATGACAGTAAAATTGTGCGAACTTCAGAAGTACCTGCAGTAGTAACATGTCCTGCTGGCTTCGAGCTTGTTGCAGGCGGTTCTGGGATGCAATGTGTTGATATCGATGAGTGCAGTGATGGTATTAGTGGCTGTGAGCACTGTGTCAACACTGAAGGTTCATTTGAGTGTAGTTGTCCCGCTGGATATGAGTTGGCAGAGGATGAAAAAACTTGCATTGATATTAACGAATGCGAAATCGTTGTGGAAGATGAGGATGATGCAGAAGCGGTGCCATATAAAGCATGTACTCAAGGATGTGAAAATACAATTGGTTCCTTCCGTTGCACTTGCGCAAATAATCAACATTTATTAGAGGATCGCAGAACTTGTGCACCAGATACATGTCAGGATCTTAGTAGTCCATCGCTAAATAAAACACGTTGTGCTTATCAGTGTGTTGATTTACCCAGTGGCGTCTACGAATGCGTTTGTCCAACAGGTTACCAGTTGGGCGCTGATTTGCATAGTTGCGATGTAGTTGAGAATGGTTGTGCTAAGGCAGGAGGCTATGAAAGTTGTGTTCCTGGCACATGCCAGTCAAGTGAAGACAACAACGGATTCACTTGTATTTGTCCACCGGGCTATTCAAATGAGATATTCAGTTGTAAAGAAATAGATGAATGTGTGACGGGAACACATAAGTGTTCACATGATTGTATTAATACAATCGGCAGCTATCGATGTATTTGTCCTGGTGGTTATCGCTTTGTCAACAGTAGCGAACATGTATGCGAGGATATAGATGAGTGTCAATCTAAGCCAGATCTATGCGGTTCACTGAACTGCGTTAATTTACCAGGCGCTTTTACCTGTTTGTGTGCCGATGGTACTGAGCCCAATCCAGAGACACGTGCTTGTAATGTGCGCGATCCTTGCGAGAACAATAAGTGCTCTCACAAATGCATAATAGAAGAAAATAATTATATCTGCATATGTCCGGATGGTATGGTGCTTGCTGAGGATGGCATAAATTGCATGTATGTTGATCTTTGTACTACGAATAACAACGGTTGCGAACAAAATTGTCTAGAAGACGGCATTTGTGGTTGCCGGAAAGGATACGTCTTAGACAATGATGGCAAATCTTGTAAAGATGTTGATGAATGCCAGGAGTCATTAGCCATTTGCCATCATTTATGCGTGAATGAACCAGGTGGTTACAAGTGTTCATGTCGTTCAGGCTATGAATTGTTAGCAAATGGAATAGAATGCAAAGATATCGATGAATGTGCTGTTGGTTCAGCAAATTGCACCTCGAAGTGCACTAATTTTATGGGTTACTATGAGTGTAGTTGCGACTTTGGTTTTGAGTTGGCTGCTGATCAAAATACTTGCTTAGATATAGATGAATGCAAATCGGGTGCCAATGATTGCTCCCATGAGTGCTTTAATTTGGATGGTGGTTACGAGTGTCGCTGTCCCCATGGTTATGTATTGTCTGAAAATAAAGCAACCTGTTTGGATGCGAACAAATGCTTAAGTGGTGATAATGACTGTAGTCAAGTTTGTAAAAGCAAACAAGGAGGCTTCACTTGTGCTTGTCATCCTGGTTATGTGCTTCAAGCAGATGGAAAGACCTGTATACTACAAAACGCTTGTCCGATTGGAACACTTTTTGATGAAGTTCTCCTGGAGTGTGTAGAAATTGATGAGTGTCAGATTAATAACGGTGGTTGTTCTCATACTTGCGTGAAGGGTACGGGATGTACTTGTCCAAATAACAGTTATCTTTTAACTGATGGTAAAACCTGTCAGTTTTCGGATGCTTGTGGGATAAATAATGGAGGTTGCTCGCACATTTGCAGCCCTACTGGGGATAGTTATGTGTGCTCGTGCCCACAAGGTAGTCAGTTGATCGATAATAAAAATTGCGCAGCCACTTGTCCAGCTGGTTACAAACCTAAACCCGGATTGCCAACTGAATGTGTAGATGTTGATGAATGCGTAACACCTGGCATATGCGAATTTAGTTGTTTGAACACAAATGGCAGTTACGTATGTATCTGTCCTGTTGGTTATAAAATACGCGATGGACGTTTTTGTGTAGATATTGATGAGTGCGAGATTAATAATGGTGGTTGTATAGGTGGCACATGCATTAACCACAAGGGCAGTTACCAGTGTAAATGCGGTGTGGGTGAACGTTTAAGTGTAGATAGAAAAACTTGTGAACCACGCACGGACTTGCACGATCAATGTACTCCATTTGTGGCGCCACTTAATGGTGAAATACACTGCACCAAGTATCGGCATAAGAAGAAGTTCTTCTATAACACCAAATGTAAGGTGTGGTGCAATAAGGGATATAAGCTAATAGGTCCAGCACAGCGATTTTGTAATGCCACTGGCGTCTGGGATAATTATGAAAACCAATGTTTGCGTAAGTATTAATATATAGAAGTACGGACAAAAAAATAATATGAAAAATAAACTATTATTTTTGTTGCTTTTAAACATATCCTTAACAATTACAGTATGCTAACAAGTTTTTCTACGTTATGAATTTAAATCATTTTTTTATAGCAAGCGTTTGTCCACGCATACCACCACCACGGTACGGTGTTATTCTGCCCACATCTTGCACTTTGGGAAAGACGTACATGGGTGAGCGTTGTCGTTTGCAATGTCATCCTGGCTATTTGCCAATTCATAAAACAACAACTGTCTGCACTTCTAACCAGCAGTGGTCGAATAACGCTACACTCGACTGTGTGCTACCGACTCAAGGTGGCCGCGTTGATACGCCACTGTTTAATGCGGTACTACCACCATCTACTGTATTAACAAGCTCGACCTCCACTAGCTCATTTATAAACAGACCATTTATACCACAAACACCACCGCAATTCAATTTTGGTGCTGCAGTTGGCATACAGCGCCCCTACATCAAGTGCCCACGGAATACAACAGTATTTTTGGCAAAGAATGAAGCAACTGCACACATTATTCTACAAAAACCGTTGACCAATTTAGATTTTCGCTACATTGAATCCTTCCCTGAATGGACGAAAAATTTGCAAGCGCACTTGACCGCTGGCACTTATGTGATAACTTTCCGTGGACATGACCCTGTGTCGGGCAAGCGCGCCAGATGTCAAACTGTCATAAATGTCCGGCATGCCATCGCACCGAAAGTCAGTTTTTGTACGCCATCCTTCGAAGTGACGTTAGGCACAAATCAAGCGTTCCGTTCGGTAGTGTGGGAAGAACCGCGTTTTGAAGATGGCCAAAAAAAATTATACAAGTCAAGGGTAAGTCAATAGTGCTTATTTAAAGTGATTTCAATATTTTTGTTAGCCATATGGTGTAACAAAAAGCAAAGGAAACACATAAAAATGGAAATGTAACATTTGCATTCATATTTTTAGTTACCAGGAGAGCTTTTTGGCGTAGGCGTACACACAGTTTACTATGAAGCGACTAACAAGGAAGGTTTAATATCCCGTTGTGAATTTAAAATACACGTTAAGCGTGAGTGAATTTTATATTCTTATTTTCTTATTTAAATCATAAATAAATATCTTAAATAATTATTTGTGCAGCTGCTGCGTCTACACCAGCGCCGGTGCTACCAACACTGAATTTAGATTTCTCACGTACCAGCATCCCAATGTCAGCTCCAATTATGCGCGCACCATTGACAAATGCAAATTTCTTATCTGGTCATGAATCCTATGTTCATTGTCCAGGCAAGGCTCCTGTGAAGGTCACCCAAACGCAATCTGTAAGTTATTTCTGGCCAGTTTGGTTAATTCGCATACGCCACAACACGCATAAAAGCTTCATGTGATTTCAGTCAAGAAAGCACTTGTCTAACACTCGCTCTAACGCTGCTTCGTAACATATATATGTTGATTAAATTTCATTTATAATATATATATCTCTGATACATATCTATGATATATCACTTTTCAATAGGTTACTTTGCCGGTGGGTTGTATACTGAAAAATGTTCGTTTGAGTCCTATGCGTCGCTTTATGCAACCACGTTTGTTTGGACGTCTACTGCCAGTTGCTCGCTATTAAATTAATTTAGTTTCTATATATAAAATTTGTATTGCATTTAAAATAAGTATATAACTGGTAATATCTTTCTTACTTTCTGTATAATAAATTTAATTTAAATGAAATTTTCAAACAAGATCTTTATTTTCGCCTAAAGTTATACCACAATTTTTTAATGAAGTAATAGATTTATGTCTGATACTTCTGTCTTTGCCATTGACAGCGATTCTCAAATAGTAAGAATTAAATTTTTTAAATAATTAAAGAGCTACTTTTGGAAATTATTTCTATATTTATGTTTAAATAAATATTAAAGTTAACACATATACAGATATTACTTTCATTAAGCATTTATTGTATCATTTTACACTCAAATCTACTTGCAGTTAATATTAATGCTGAGTAATTTATTTTAAAAAGTTTAAAGAAGAAGGTAAACCTAAAAAATATGATCTAACAATAATGGCTAATTCCAATTGGTGTTTTGTCCGTACTCTTTAACATCAGACACAATAGCTTTTAGTGAAAACCATAAGCCCACAATATAGAATCAAAAGCAGAAAGCTTTGCATTTTGTCAGTATCTAAAAAGTTAATCCCTAGTTTTCGTGGCTTCATCATAGACATACTTATATAGTACTTATATCACTTAAAATTTACTTATTTAAAATATTTAAAATAAACTCGTAGAAAAAAAACAATTTGACTGCAGCATGAATATCAAAACAGATGCCATTTTGGAGTTTAAAAAGCAAACAAATAATCCAGACATGAGTTATAGATCATGATATGACGTCAATATATAGAACGCAGTCCTATGTACCTGAATATTTTATTGAATATCAAAATAATGTTAATATTTATTAAATAATCATCGGCACTGATGACATTTCTTTGAGCAAGAGTATTAATTATTCTCAAGAATATTTCTCCTTTCTTCCAAAAAAAAGGGCAGGAATGTGCTTTGACTTTGACTGCAATCTAAGAATCCCATAAGGAGATATTACAGTCACAACTATCACTTGTATAACGAGACGAGATAATAAGGCAGTTAATTGTTAAAAGCTTAACACTATTATGTTCTTGTGAATTCGTCATTCGTTGGTTACAAGGATATATGGATTACAAGGAATTTAATCTGAGAAGCAAATCAGTTTTCTCAATAAAATTAAGAGCAAATTAGATTTACACTGGGCCCCATACTCTTTCCATAATTATAGAGCAAAACGATTCTTTCTGACTCAATTCTTTATGAAATCAAATCATGAAAAAACATTAATGATAATGCAAAGAATAAAATAAGAACGTCTTTGATTACAATACCCTTTGCCAAAAAAACATGCTTAAGAATCTTACTCTTCTTCTTTTCATTTTTCTCCAATTTAAATAGCGTGGGGAGTTTGATTTAATACTGAATAGAATTAATACGAAATCTATACTACAAACCGCTTATTTGCTCCTACTCTCTTACGCCGTGTCTTTGAGCGTAAGCTTATATGTGATTGCATGAACTATAAGCACATCCACGACAACGTCGTTTACAACTCAGTACCTCTTGACACTTGTCCGACGGTATGTCCTTACGTCAAGTACCCTCCCTGCAGACCTCGACCAAGCCATGTGGTTCCAATCCCCACATACCTCACGCCACATTTCGATGAGCGGGACACGGATGTCCCAATCATTCTACTCTACATCCGTGGATTTTGTGACCCCGATCATAGAGTCTATATTGAAGTCTCCACATCACTACGGATATCTTCTCCATTCATTCCTAAGAGGCGGTTTTACTGAGTTGATGTCTCACACTGTGGCCTTTGATGCTTTTCAGCTATTGTAAAAAAAAAAATTATTTTTGAGTGAAAGTGAAAGCTGTTTAAAGCTTAAAAAGCGTCCATTTTTTCCGGTGATATAACAAAATATAAACTTGTTTAAAAAAAATATATATTATTCATAAATTATATTTAAATTTTAATATAATTTAATTGATAAATTACACTATTTTTAAATTCTAATTAAGATATTAAGACAAATCTCTTATATTAAAAGACAGTTATTGCTTTGACACTATTTGATTAATTAAATTATTTTTAAATTATTAATTTAAGCATTAAGATCAATATCTTTTAATGAAATACAAATATAGTAAGTTTGATAAACATAGAAACAATAGTTAGTCAGCAATAATAATTAAGTTATTTCCATTTGATATTCAAGCACTTAAGTTTGGTAATCAATTTGTAAATAAAATATTGATTTTTTGACACGTGTGGTTTAAGGTTTTATAGAAACACTCATGTAGGTTCTGCTAACCTAAATGAGTATATGTTTTTTTATTTAACTTAAAAGTAATTAACTTTTAGGCTTCCAAACCTTAAACTTGAACTCTATTTATATCGACGTAACAATCTGATAACAATAGACAGTATTAGTGGTGTTTTACTTTCTTAGAATTTCTCTTCTATCAGTCTTACAAGTAATCGATTTTTAATCCTTAAGGGCATTATCTTGAGCTTTTGTGCAAATGTGATCAGTAGCACATAAGAAGTGATATTATCAATGAAAATGTACTTGCCCCAAAAAAATGGTATAAAAACTCTTCCGATTCGAGAAATTTTTATTGTTTAAGTTTAGAAGCAACCGAAGCCACTAAGAACAAAATGAATTTCAATAAACTCTTCGCATTTTTGGCTATTTTGGTGTTGTGCGTTTTGGGACATCAAGCAGCCGAGGCACATTTCCTGGGCAAAGTTGGACACAGATTGGTGAGTTTTACAATATGTTTTAATTGATTTCTCTTACTGATAATATATAATTTCTTAGGATAAAGCTGCCAAGACTGTTGATAAGGCACAAAGAGTCATTGCCGCTGGTACTGCAGTCGCTGGCGCTATTGGAGTTGCCGCTGCTTAAAAATCGTTTGGTTTCTTTGCTTATAGATTAGATGACTCGGAATGTGATGCATTATCTATCTTTATGTAGATAAATATGTATTTTGTATAAAATTCTTTTCAAAATAAAAAACAAGAAAAAAACTGTATACGTAGAATTTATTTTGATAAATAATGAATTTGGAAATCTTCAACTTATATACATGATACAACAGATCATTACCAATTTTTATTTAGATAGAAAACTAATTATTATTAATTAGCCTCTTTGTGTAATTGCACCCTAAAAAGGCGCTTTACATATAGTAAGTAAAAATACACAATACAGATGTCTCTGCAAAAAGAATAGCTTTCAAATAAAAATAGGCCACCTCAAAAATTTGCCTCATTTAACTTGTGTTTCCGAATAAAACTGTAATTTATAAGCTCGTCGTAAAATTGACAAAAAAACTTCGAACTGGAAAATTGAAAGTTTGTGCTGTCTTGGCTTCTTGTGAAAAAATACGATTAGTCAACGCTCAGGCATGAGTTCTAAGCCTGGCACTTGGAGTCTAAATTAATAATGTATGGATTAATTAAGTTGACTAATTAAAAAAAATTTCAATAATTCCTAAGATCACTGATGATGACTACTTGGCAATATTCGAAACAGCGTTTTCTGGTCAGCCAAATTTCAATAAATTAACTAAAATTTTTGTTGTTATCTTTTTATTTCTATTCGAACCCTTTTAAGTTTTAAAAACATTCTTTTCGTCATAAGACGCGTCACTTTCGACAAAAAAAAATTAATATTGTTATTGATTAAATTGTTTTTAATTATTTGTCGATCTATTGAAATTAAGTCGCAACAATTCCGATTTCCCGGATATGCCTATTTGATAACAAAATACAGGATCAGCTATTTTGATAAATTTTGCTATTATGGCAAGTGTCGATTAAGCTTTTTTTTAGACATCGAAGTTTAGAGTCGAATACATTTTATATTGATTGCATTAATAAAAAAGCTGCATACGTCACCAACGGCGACTAGTACACTGTATTCTCTCATTGATAACTTGAAAAACTGCTAACAAATTTGTGGTTGGTGGTTTCTATGTAAGAAATTTCTATCTTTAACACCAATTTTTCAAAAAAATAAGCAATAACATAAAAATGATATAAAAATGTCAACTACATTGACATATAGCGTATTAAAAAAGTTGTTTAGAATAGCTAAGTTTATTAAAATTTTCTAATCCGGTAGTGCCCGGGTATCGGAATTCTGTCATTTAAACATACTATTCCAAAGTTCTAGAGTGGAATGTTTAATATACTTTTATTTCAAATAACTTCATACTCGTAACTAAACTTTCCAGACTGGGAAGGGGGAGAATATATTCCCAAGAAGATATACTTGGAATAACTATATTTGCAATACCATTTATATATTTAAGGTGATTATAATGCAAGGTAAAACCCTCAATCAATAAATTACACAAGACTGTGAAAGTTAAAATTGAATTTATAATGAAATAATAGATTACTCAAAAATCACTAAAAACCTTTGGGTATGATTTCGATTTCCCGAGCGCTGCTATTTGATTTGATAACGGGTTTTCGTATATTTTAATATTCTAAGACAATTTTTGCATTCTATTATAAATCGACTTAGTTTAATTCTTGCTATAGTAAAATTTAGAGTGGGTAATTTTTGTATTAAAAACACCAGATGGTGTAGGTAATGATTTACATTGATCATCCTCTAGTATGTACTAGTACCTACAGAATGGCTCCTGTAGTGTTTTTTTATAGTAATCGATTCAAAAATTTTAACATTATAAAGCCTGATATCTGAAGATCAAAACAATATTGGTAAATACCATAGTGGAAAAAGTTGTCTCAAAAAGTTGTAGATTTACCGGAAAGTCAAAGTCTCACGTATTACGTGTTTCAGTACTTAAAAGAAGTGTGGCGAAGTCAGAATATAATTTACGATTTATATTAAAATAAAATTATTACGCTTTTATTAATAATATAAATTAAATAAATTTTTTTTTTTAGTTTTATTAAACATACAAAACTTCCACAAACATTCGCGCATCATAATAAAAAATTTATATTAAATTGAGCCAGACGAGTTGTGTCAGTCTGATTATATGAAAATAATCATCTCTGTTAAAAAATTTAGTTTCTTGAAAAATTCACAAATTAATTTTCCAATTCACAAATGATTTAAAGTTTGAAATATTTGTTAAAAATTACATCAGTTTTTCACTACAGTGCTAGATAGGTCTGTTCGGTTACTAGAGATATAGTTATATTGAATATTATATGGAGAATATTAACTAAAGTAATTATATTTGTAGTTAAATATGTGAAGTCTGTTGCATGACAGCTGAACATGCAATTTCTTAGAACAATCCAAGATATATTACTTATAATAATTTATTCTAAAATCAATGTCGCTATATTGAGGTAATTAATGCTATAGTTTACATAAATATTAGATAACTGAAATAAATTTCCATTAGAATGGTTTGGATCTGTATACTATATGTACTTATATCAGTTGTAATCTGGATAGATAAAATTCATAGTCCAAACGTATTTTAGTTAAAGACAGCTACTTCAAATAAAGCAGAACCTGCTCAATACTACGCTTTTGGTGCTGACAAGTCACTGCGTAGCGCTTGTGGCTTTGAAAAGGAGGAGGAATTCGTATCTCACCTCTTTGTTAATGCCCATATTTGACCAATAGAAGATTAAAAATCAATCGGACTTATTTTCTTAGCGCCCTGATAGTGTTACCATCCTTCAAATTTAGAGACAGCTAAGTTCATAAGCTTATCAGTTTTGTTCACTTTCACTTGAATGGAGTAGTTGTGCCTTTCAGCGTTGTTCGTATACAAACCATTTATCATAACGGGTCATTATTTGAGCACCCACTATCTATTGCTTTGATGTACAATATTCTCAGCCCAACCTAATATAATCGAATCTATAGCAGTTGTAGCATATTTCTGAATTCGTTGCTGCCAAAAAGTTTATTTTTGATTGAAATTGATTTACGGAACAAATTACATGCTAACTAGTTTAAAATGCATCGCATATTTTTATAATTAATTATAACAAAAAATGCTTACTGTCACATATTAATTTCTTATCGGTCATTTAAATTATATGAGGCGCTATATTTGTAAATTTGAATTTTTGTAAAAACCCAAAAAAATATATGTCTAAACTATTTAAATGATTATTAATTACTTATTTTAGTTTAATTTTAATTATGCAAACATATTTAGAACTTCGCAGTAGAAAATAGCCTTTTAAGTTATGTATAATATGTAGGCTAAATACAATATGTAAACAATATAAAGTTCCAGAATTTTATATAACAAAATGAATAAAAAAATAAATAAAATGTTGCAAATTGCCTTTGGTTTTAACTCACTATAGAAATTTCAAAATATTATGAACAAAAATAATATAACAAACCAGGTCAAGTTTTTTTTATTAAATGATTTTAATCTTTTTTAATTAATCACGTGATTACCAGTTTCATAAAAATTTTAATAAACAATGCCTCAAAATACTAAGGGAAAATATTTTCATAAAGAAATTACCACTTCTTATTGTCGTATCGTTTTATTATAAAATCGGATAATCAGTAAATTATCTTATAATTATCTTATAATATATATATAAATATTTACGATATATCTACTATATATCGTATATTATTGAAAGGAATTTTCTTTTTACACGTGAAATAATATATTTTTATTATATATTTTATCAGATATTATTTATTATTAGATATTATTTTATTTTTCAGTTATCTTCCACTTCCAAGTGACAAACAGCATTATAATTTTGTCTTTAACTTGGTCTCTCCAAAACATTTCAAATTGACGATGCCCTCATCTCTGTTATTATAAAAACCATGCATAATTTTAATCTCACTAAGTATCGATACTCTTTCAGCTCTAAGTCAACACTAATACAACTCTGACTGATATCATAGAATCTATAATTAATAATATAGTAGTAAATAATATTTAATATATAATATATATATTATATACATAAATAAAACTGCTTCTTACTCCGATTACAAATAAGTAAGTAAAATACAAAAAAAAAATTCAATAAAAAACATTTTCTAGTGTGACCTCACCCTCTCCTCTTTTGACTTTTTCCTTTAAAGAAATTAATCATTGAATAGAATTCAAAATGACCTGAGAATATTGATCGGAGAATATTCGTACCGGAAATATACATTGAATATTGTATTTTTGCGATTCTATATATTTCCGGTGTTCACATAATGATCCATTGTAATATTGCAGATAAGCGTTGTTCACATGAAGACTAGAATGAGCCCTAAAAGCACGGCAGTAGTCAGCAGTAGCAGTAGGAGATCAACGGTTTCGTTGCACAGTACCTTTCATAAAAATACACCTAGTATGTAAACAATTTCTTGACAATACATATTCATAAATTCTTTAATATCACATACAATGAGACTAACTTAAAAGAATAAAATAAGTGTATATACTGTAGTATAGATTTGATTTAATACAATTAGTACGCTACTATGTATAACACATAATATACATAACACATTGTTGTAGAGCAAAGACATAAAACCTGACCTCACCTCACAAATGTCGGTTTGCCGTTCACTTGCTTTGATTGCAGCTGAAACAAGGAGGTTTTCACAGCAGTAAAATATCTGATAGCAATTAAATTCTAATATTTCCAGTCGTTGAACCTATTGAGCTAAGACCACAGCCAAAAGATAACAAAGCGTTCGTCAATTGTGGAAAAAATTACTCAGCCACTTGTTTGGAAAAATGTATTTACAAAAACATTGGCTTTTACGCATTTGTAAAACAAGAAAAACAATTAAATAAAAATATTTTTCTTGAGCTTTAGTTTGAATTTTTATTAATTTATTTATTAAAAATTAATTTCCATGTGTAACATACGTCATACAAAAGACCTCCGTTGTTGTTGTTATTGTAGGTTAATTCAAATCTCCGAACTGCGATTATTTAGCATTTATTTTGATTGCAAAATTTTTAGCATTATTGTATAATTCGATTGCTATTTTTTGAAAATGTCTTTTAAAATACCATTGATGCCAATTGTATCAAAAATAAATTAGTGTACTTTTTAGTTTCTAATTTAATTCTTAATTCATCTTTTTATGATTAACAGCAGCGCACGTAGTTTGCGGACACAACGATAACCCCACATCTCAGGCTAGGAATTATCAGCGAAGCTATGGTACATTAAAGTCATTTCCAATTGCCGTCCATAAAGTCTATTTAAACATGCGCGCACTTGAGAATTCACTTCAGTTTGTGTGAAAACGGCGTGTGGCGCGATACTGAGCTCAGAATTAATTACCAGAATTAAAAGTATCTGTGATTGCAAATTGTGAAAGCGAAATTAAAAAATTTTGTAAAATAAAAATTTATTACAAAACATTACACTTAACGATATACATTAATAATTTTACAAGAAAGTTGAAGACTTGAAAGGATCAATATGCAAAGACAACAATCTTTCGACAAGGTTCGTGAATATAAGATATAATAATTTTTGGGAATAATAAAAGGACGATGGAAATGGTAGACCATTTAAAAAAATAGTTGGAACTGTTTCTCCATAAATAGTGATTAATATTGTTGAGAGGATATATGACGTTTCCAAAATATTTGTGACTTGCAAAAACCTTAGTTTGACAGAAAGCAGTTTAGTTATAAGCCTATTTTTAACTTCATATTGTAGTAACACGCATTACTTCTTCTAAAGATATTGAACTTTAAAACAAGTTTCACATTAATCATCTACTTTGTCATAAAATACAGATTTCGTTCCCGTCAGAGTCTTAAATATATCAGAAGATTATTACGAAAAAATGGTACAAATATTATATTTACGTTAAAAGACGAATGAATATATATAAAATCTATTATTTTACTATATTTAAATCCCTTTAAACTGAGGTGTTATAATTATGTTTGAAGGGTTGTTTTGACAAGAATATAAATAACAATCTATGGTAATGACAATATTTTTTCTCACCATAACTAAACTGAAAGCTTCAAAACCGTACTCAATAATACGCAACTGATAGCATAAATCTTCATACTATATCACATATAGTCACACATATTTGTCAAGCAAAAAACATACCGGATCATACATACACACTTTCGCAAAATAAAACTACCATATAATCTGCAAAATTATGAAGATTATAATGATATGGTGATAATAAAATAATAATTTTATTATCATAATATCATTTAAGAGCCGTCAAAATCGTGTGACCCGCAAAATTCCCGCTTTACTTCAATATGATGTGTTAAACATATGAATGAAAAGAAATTGAAACTAAATATTTTTAAATAAACATTCCAAATACATACCTCAATATTAGTTTTAGGTGACTTGAATACATTGGAAATGTATGTCAATCTCAATACTCAATATTATGTAGATTTTTATAGTGGAAAGTCTTAATCTTATTTGGCTTGAACATATACACAACAAGAGTTTAGTTGTTATTTTTACTTTTCTACTCTACAGGTTTTATAATAGTTTTTTGGTTAAAGATAATATCTAATTTTTCAATATCGGTCAATACTATGTCGCCTATCACCCACGCTTTAAGTTTTGCAACCTTGATATTAATCTTATTTACTGTGCCCTATGCTACACTGGGAATGAGGATGACAGAAGAGACTACAATTATGGTTCATAATAAGTTGTAGCTTGACTATACTGATTACCATTAATGTTCTACTAAAGTGATTGTATGTATGTATGGATAACAGAAATTATTGCTCTGATATGTATGACAAATACGTATTTAGATAGTTCAGACGAATTTTAATTTTCATGTGTTTTCTAGTGCCTTAAGCCCAAGTGAATGATATTGTATATAGGATGCTTACTGTTCAATATATTATATATTTTATTTAACAAAAATAAAATAAAAAATAAAAATAAATTTCTATAATACATATATGTGTATTATATATACATTATGGCTGGTTTATGATTACTGTGTGCAGACTACAAGGTAACTTTTCATGTACTCCAATTAAAGATTTGTCGTCGTTTTGCTATCAGATTCCCTGCAAGAACCCTTAAGTTTGAAGAATATAGACTCAATCCATTCCGTTGAATTTAGATAATTTAATATATTAGATCCTTCGTTTTTATCGATGAGAAATCTGATATGTAAGTTGCCAAAGAAATACTTCCATATATACATTTTAATCTGTGAATTTTAATCGTATGATATTCCAGTTATATATGATATAGGGAAGCAATTTATTCATTAATGTGACCAATCTGCTGTCATAAGTATCTGTGAGCGTAGTTTATTCGATTAGCGCAACAAGTTTGAAGCTAATATGTATATTAAAACACTGATTGACACCTAGAAACACAGACAGATAGGCAAGTAAACAAATAGGCAATAGATCTACATCTACTCATCTTATCTTGCTTTTAGAGATCATGTACAATTTATATGATCTCCGACATTTCCTATACCGGATTGTAAATGTCTCAATTAAGTTTAATACATAATATTTTTAATAATTCATTAAAAACAATATTTTTAATTCTTTAATGCTGTTTTTTATGCAATGTACGTCTTAATTATTATGTGATTAAGTGCTTATGTACTTATAAAGAGGTTTAGAAAACTTTTTTTCGAAAAGCTCTGATAATGAAATTTTTTTCTTTAATTAATTAATTTGAGGAATTATTTTATATAATTATGACAATTGCTATTAGTGATGTATATGCAATTAATTTAAAACTAACCAAACTATCAGATTTTGAATTGTGTCTCTAAGTGTTCTTCGATTTTAGAACTTCCGTTTGTATTTCTACCGATTGCTGTCAGTCCATTGAGCGGTTCTTATAAACAAGCTGATATGGCAAAAGATCCTGCTGTCTATACAATGCAATTGCTTAGCCGTATTATCTACGTAGAAATATATATGTTTGAACTGGAAATAACATAAACAAATTAATTTAATTATATTTGATTTTTTGTGAGATTATTTTTAAAAAAGTACAAACATTGACAACAGTACTAAGCAAAATCAAATTCTTTGCTAACTATATAGCCCTTGACAGTATCAACATCTACTAATACTGATTGTCCATCAGTATCAATCTTCTTATGAAAAGAACTTAACTTGTCTATAAATATTAAAAAAAAATTCTGCATAAATTATTGAAAGCTATAAACTTGTGTTATTCACTTCTTAGTAATTAAGATAGTTAAAACAATTTTAAAGATTAAATTTAAGAAAACAAAAAAAAATAAACATTCGTTTTAATTGAATTTTTAATTTAAATGCATTTTTTTTTGCATAGAATTTATTTCTTGTCGATTAAAAATTGAATAATTTTTATTATTGGCCAGATAAGCCACATTGCAAGTCATTAAAGACCTCGTTTAGCAAAATCATTGATTGGACTAAATAGTAAATATTAAGTCGCAATAATTTAATAGCTTTAAAGAAAAAATAAAAAAAAAAAAATTTTATTGCATTTCACTGTACAAAAAAATTAAAGTATAAAATCAATCCATTATAATTTTTATAGCCAACTCGTATAGAAGGTTCATCCTATATAGTAGAAGGCATAGAGGCGCAAGAAGCACGTAATACTTGCTTGCTATTCTCACCAAAAGAACAAAGCAGCGGCTCTCTCGCCAAAAGTCTGAAGATTTTCAAGAAACATGACATCAATTTGGTGCACATAGAGTCACGATCATCTGTACGTGTGCCTGGTTATGAATTTTTTGTGGAAATCGACAGTACCTCAGGTTCACTTGGAAAAGCTATTGATGATTTGCGTCAACAATGCAGCTACTTCAATATTATATCAAGAGATTATAGGGATAATACATCTGCTGTACCATGGTTTCCACGTAGAATACGTGACTTGGATCGTTTTGCTAATCAGATCTTGAGTTATGGCGCTGAGCTTGACTCTGATCATCCTGGCTTTACTGATCCAGAATATCGTGCTAGAAGGTAAACATTATAATTAATAAAAATGTTTGTAATATTAATATGAATTATTCTTTCTTATCAAATTTTGAAGAAAATATTTTGCTGATATTGCTTACAATTATAAACATGGAGAGCCTTTACCGCATGTAAATTACACCAAAGAAGAAACAGAAACTTGGGGAATCATTTTCCGGAATCTAACAAAGTTGTACAAAACTCATGCATGCAAGGAATATAATCATGTGTTCCCATTGTTGGTTGATAATTGCGGCTTTAGAGATGATAATATACCACAGTTGGAGGATGTTTCAAACTTTCTTAAAGGTAAGTTCTTATTAATGAAATTGATAAATGAAATAAATATGCATACCAATAAAATAGAAAGATAGAAATGATAGGTTATGGTATAACTAAAATGTATAAGTGAAAGATAACTTATATATGGGAAAGACCATATATTGAAATAAATTTGATTACATATGTTTGTATTAATATTACTATTAATAATACTAATAGCAAATTTTAGCTTTAAATCTACTTTAAATTTTTTATATATTTTAAAATTTTACCATCATTATTTTCATAGATTGCACTGGCTTTACTTTACGTCCAGTAGCTGGTCTATTATCATCTCGCGATTTTCTTGCTGGTCTTGCCTTTCGTGTTTTCCATTCTACACAGTATATTCGTCACCCTAGCAAACCAATGTATACACCGGAACCAGATGTTTGTCATGAACTTTTGGGACATGTGCCACTTTTCGCTGATCCTGCATTTGCACAATTCTGTCAAGAGATTGGTTTAGCTTCTTTGGGAGCTTCTGATGAATATGTTGAGAAATTAGCAACGGTAAGTCACAATGCATAAAAATTGTTTCCTTATAAATAATAATTATATTAAAGATTAATATATATAATAATTTTTCATATATATAATATTGTGTGATTTTTTTATATATCTTAGATATTCTGGTTTACTGTGGAGTACGGAATTTGTCGTCAGGATGGTGATTTAAAGGCTTACGGCGCTGGATTATTGTCTTCATACGGTGAACTACAGTATTGCTTGACTGACAAACCAGAACATAGAGAATTTGAGCCAACTGTAACTGGTGAAACCAAGTATCCAATAACAAAATTCCAAGAAGTTTATTATGTGGCCGGAAGTTTTGAATGTGCTAAGGAAAAAACAATGTAAGTACAAGTTTAATGATTTAATTAACAACAATATATGATAAAATTCAAATATATAATATATATAATATACAATAATATATAATAATAATGTTATATTATTATTATTATAATAAAAACATTTAAAAATAAAATAACGAAATTATTGGCACTATGTATATTTAATAGCTAATATTAAATATTAACTATCTAATATTGAATTACTTTTATCTCAATAATTTTCAAATTTTAATAAATTTAATTTGAAATTATTTTATTTTTAGTAAATTTGCTAACTCGATACCACGTCCTTTCGGTGTTCGTTATAATGCCTATACGCAGAGTATTGAAGTTCTGGACTCCAAGCATCAAGTTTCCAATCTGATGAACATCATCCATTGTGAATTCCAAATACTTCAAAATGCAGTGGAAAAATTAAGAGTTTAGTTAAATAAGATAATATTTCAAATAATTAATAATTATTTAAATTTAATTAGATTTAGAATTATGACCATTTAATTATATAAAATATTTCTATTAAATCTGTATATAAATGTGTGTTTATATATTTATATATATATATTAAAAATTTTACTATTTATATATTTATAATAAAACATTAAATTTTATAATATAAATTTGGTTGATTTTTTTTCTAATATATTATATTTTGTTTAATTGTTGTCGATAGTTAATATTAATAACTTTCGTGTGGGTTTTAGTAAACCCAAGATTTAAAATACAAACTTAAAAAAATTATTTTGTTTTAAAAAAATGTATATATTAAACTTTAAACAATTTCGAAAAGAATCTAGTTTATACCAAAACGTTTTTCAGTAATATTTATGTATAAAATATTTTACGTACTTTAATAAATATTATATTAAATTATTATAATATGAAACAGATATGGATGTCATGTAAGATGCGGAATTTTAATGAATATTAAATATATATTTCACAAAATGAATATAATTTTTTTGTGGATACTGCTATGATATTATACTAATTATTATTTATAGGTAGTTATTATAATATATAAATATAAATAAATAAATTAAATTTTTTTTGTGGATACTGCTATGATATTATACTAATTATTATTTATAAATAGTTATTATAATATATGTATGTATGAATGGATAAGTATGAATGCAAGTAAGACGTACATTTTATTTTTAATTCGATTTTATTTATTGAGAGTTTGAAAAAATACATTCAAAGAAATAAATTCACTTTGTAATGTTAAAATATATCGGGGCACTAGCTCTCAACGGAGCAGAGCACTGCGACCATGATTGATCTTTTGAGTTGCAACAGACCCTAACCGAACAGCAGACATTCCGCCTTCCGAATGAAAGTCAGAATGTCGGATTTCTTTAATTAAGTAATCACAATAATTCTAATTAATTCAGTTCTTCATATATGATTAATCCAGATATGAATACTTTATTTAAATTTCTTTAATGACTGATTTAATAACTGGTTTAAATAATTAATTTTTTATTTTAAATTTTTTAACGATTAGTTTTTATAAGACTGAACATATGGCCAAAAAATGTTGCAAATTAAACAATTTTATTACAAAATGTTTCAGTCTTTTGTTAACAATTTTAAGAAATATGTCAATTAAAAATTGCATTAAAAAATAAAAAATAATTATAAGGTCATTAACATTGGATATTAAAGTAATCAAGTATTATAAATAAATATGTCATAAAATGAAATGAAATAAACTTTCGTAGTCACTTATTAGCTGTTATTTTCTGAATTCTGAACAGATAAACAGATAATCAAAAATAAATATAACTGAAATAAAATAAATAATATAAATATTTAAAATGATAAAACAGATTAAAATAAATAACTCATTTCTAACTTAACTTGGAAATTATTTACATTCATATTCGTGCATAAATGTATACAAAACTTACAACAACAATGAAAGCAATAACAAAAATAATAACAATACAGAAATCTAGACTCAAAATATAGATATAGAGGCTGATGCGGACTTTTTAGCTTGATGGTTACTTAAGTTAGCCCCTCTCTTGCTCAAATACTATGTAGTGTTCGTACTTGACTATGTTTACGATTTAAAGGTGTACAATTCGTACCCCAATCTATTTGAGCCACGCCCACGTTTTCTGACCTAGATAAAGTTAGTCCACTAGTTTGATCCACTACGCTCTCGCTCAAATCTCTGTCCACAGATTACTGGAAAGAAGTTTTCATATTGCTGTGGAAATCTTCTCTATTCATTCCTAAGAGGTGGTTTCAATATGTTCAAGTCGTATACTGTGACTTTTGATGGTTTTTAAAGAAAAAAAAATAGTGAGAATCACCTAGCTCAATAAGATATATTTTTTTTGTAAGAACTCTCCGTTTGAACATTTTTAATGTTTAATAATAATGAATTACTTATAGTCCAGTCAGTTAGTGAAGGTTAAAACCACTTCAAATGATTTCGAGTTATGTTGTTTGAGTAGTTGCAGGTTCTGGACCTTGTGAAATTGAGTTTAATCCTTCAGGGGTCGACACACGTTTTGAGAATACGATTTTGTATTATAAGTTATATTCTGATAAAAACTTATTTTATGACTAAAATCTTTATAAAAAAATTGATAATTAAATTTCACTTCCAATGCTCCAATTTCATACTTCGAGAATATCACTTAAGTATGACTCAAAACATCTGCTTAAAATCTTTAGAAAAAAAATGGTAGCAAAATTTTTAATTATAATATATATGATTAGAAAATTAAAAAATATAATAAATAAATTAAGAACTTAGTTAAGAGTTATATATTGTAATTTTAATGAATGTAAAATAGTTGAAACTATATTTCGATCACATTTATTTTATTACAAAATTTTTGTTTTTACTAATTGGAATTAAAAGAAATTAATATTTAATGTTCCATAAAAGAAAACAAACTTAATAATTTTTTTTATAAAATTAACTAACTTTTAATATAAATTAAATAATATACACATCTTCAATTATAACTAACTTGGCCTAAACAAAAAGCCTTAAGCGTTTTGTTGATTATCTTAAACTAAATAACTAAAATATCATTAGAGATAATAGTATTGCAATAATATTTTACACGATTTAAGATACACATAGGATCTACTTATGACTATCTTACACATAATTAACATATACACAGAAATTATAATTTTTTTCTCACAGTTCAAAATTCACTAAATAAGTAACGAGAAAATTATAGACGAAACCTAATCGCGTGATATTTGAATAAATTTTAATACAATTATTTTTTTTATCTGTGAGCTGCAAATAATTAAATAATTAATTAAAATTATTACAATTACCACACCATGAGCTTTTTAAAAGCGAATCCAATGCTTCGTTGTAATATTCAAACATTTTCTCTATGCCTAATATGTACAAAAATATATATAACAGCGATTTCGGAAGGAATACATAAGATAATATAAACATATATATACACATAAGTTAGGACCTAACCCTACAGCTATTGACTGGTGCCGGATGCATGTGGTGAGTTGAAGAGATTTTGTGATTGCTCCTGTGACATTTGATATGGTAGAATTTCCAGATCATTTGGTAATTGATTAGTTGTTTGATTGTTGAGGTTCTGAAAGGGATTATTGGAGTAAAATGAGCGATTTTGTTGCTGATGTTGTTGTTGCTGTTGTTGTTGCTGCTGCTGTAGTTGTTGATGATGATTTTGCATCATTTTAATGTCTTCACTATGCGTTTCGGAACCATCGTCACTAATGCCCATCGCGAAATTGAGCGTTGGACTTGACTCCGTCGCCATATTCATATAGGACAATAACGAATCTTCATTTGCGGAAGCTTGCGGGGTGTTTGTACTGTTTATGTAGTTTTGACTGAGTGTATTTTGTTGATTACTGCTGCCACCGTCATTATTGCTACTGATTTGATTTAAACCATTCTGCGAACCAATCGATTGTAATGGTGATAAGTTTAGAAAGGCGTCAATATCATCATGGAATTGATCTAGATCAGGTACACTGCGTGATAGTAGATTTGATTGTTGTTGCTGCTGCGATTGTTGTTGCTGTGACTGTTGCTGCTGCGATTGTTGTGTATTATGTTGTTGTTGTTGTTGCTGCTGCTGCTGCTGCTGCTGTTGTTGTTGTTGTTGTTGTTGTTGTTGTTGTTGTACTTGTTGATTCTGCATCTGTTGTTGCTGATTATGCAATTGCTGTTGTTGATGTTGCAGATTCTGTTGATGTTGCAACATCATTTGTTGATCCTGATTATTTTGCATTTGCTCTGAGTTCAAAGCGAATCCATACTGGTTGTACTGCGGTTCCACGGCACTGCTATTGAAGTTAAAACTTCTATTGCTATTCGCTGCGTTATTATAATTGACAGAAACCATTGGTATATAACGTGCTAAAAGTAGTTGTTCAGATACAATACGAAGCTCATCCTGCTGTTGTATAATGAGCTTTTGCAGTTCGTCATGCTTTCGCTGCAGTTGCTCCTGTAGTTGCGTTGTGTGTGTGGGCGTCATAACCATGGCGCCAGATAGCATATCAGCTTGACTCTGCGAGAATTTCAAGTCAAATATTTAATACCATATATGTGTGACCTACTTACGGTGAGCGGCGAGAGTACAGGCGCAACAGGAGTTACTGGGAATGGTGCTATAACAGGTTGCACTGGTATCGCCGTAAGATATTGCGTTGGATCTAGAAATGTTGTACCCATCAACTGCGTATTACGTATTGGAAAGGCGGGTTGTGGAAACTGACAGGTATTATTTGTTAATATTTGCGCTGGCGCCATTGCAGCATGTGGTGTTAACATTGGTATCATTTTTTGTTGCGACTGCACATGACTCATTTGCATATGTTGTTGCTGGTGTTGCTGCTGTTGGAAGATATGTTGAGCTCCTTGATTTGACTGCTGGACCTGGTTGCTCTGCAATAAATGCTGCTGTTGCTGCGTGCCTGTTATACTATGACGTTGTTGTCTGTTCTGCTTCAGAAAACAAAAGTGGAAAATGACATAAAATCATTTGCTTTTCGTTTTAATATATATAAAATATATGCTATGGAACACAGTGTGAAACTATTGTTACTATATCGACAAACAAGGTTAAGCGATTGAACTGTTACCAACTACAGACAGATATATCTGTCAAACTTATATTGCCATCTACGTGATATTCATTCGAAGGACAACTGTTTATATTGTCTACCACAAGCATTCGCTTTTAAGTTTTATAGAACAAAAATTATTCGAAATGGCGTTCAAACGTAATAGTGTGTTATTTTCCGCTGAAACATCACAACCAGCTATGGTTCGTGAGCTCAAACACCTCGAAGTGAATAAAATGTTTGTATATCGTACCATAAATCGTTATAATAGTATAGGCAGCGTTGCCGAACACTTTGGTTATGGACAAAAAAGAACAGCAACATCATCTGATTTGGTTCGAAAAGTAATGGCTCGACTTGAACGAAATTCATGTCGTAGTAGTAACCAAATGGCCAAAGAACTAAAAATATCCCAGCGAAGAATCCGACGCATATTCCTAAAGGTTAAAGCTAAAGGTTAAGGGCATTACAAGTTCCAAAAGGCACAAGAAAGTAAGACTCGAAAGAGCAAAGGAGTTGTTACGGTTACACTAACGTGGCGAATTTCGATCGGGTTTACTTAACTGAACGCACTGCCTAAAATTTGACTACGAATGGCCATCCGAAGTAATTTTTCATCTCAAGTAATGATATGGGTAGCTGTGACCGCCGATGGACGCTCTCCAATCGCTTTTATCGAGCATAGTGTCAAAGTTAATGCGACTGATTATCGGGAAGAGTTTTGGAAGTTGCTTTAGAGCCGTGGACATGCAAACATTTCGGTCGTAGACCATGAAATTCCAACAGGACTCGACACCGTCTCATAAAACTCGTGTGAAGTAAGAATAGTTAAAAAATCATGTTACAGACTTCGTTTGGAATGGGCCTAACTACAGGAATATTACACTCGTGAAGCATACAACTCATTTTTTAATCGTTTGAAGGTCATAGTTAAGGTAAAAGCTGACCACATCGAGCTGCAGTGATCATTTCAGAAGTGTTGATTATTTTCATAAATATTTGTAATTTTTGTAAATTTTTGTAATCAATAAAAATTAATTTCACACAAAAAATATATGGTCGCTTGAATAGGTAACACTTCAATCGCTTAACCATGTATGTAGTTCACTATATATGTGTATTATAATGTAATAGATTATAATAGTTACTCTTTTTATAGCAGTTTTACAATTATTACTTACCGAGCTCGTATGCGTCATTAAGGAATTCTTGCTCGTCACCGAATCAGCTGACATTGAAGCTGAGTCAGATTCGATAGCGTTGCTAGGATAACGTCTCTTTTTACTGGGTGATGAGTCAGTAATACAAGAGGCTGACCGTGAAGATTTATGCGTTGGAATTTGTATTGAGGTTGTCGAGGAAACTGCACTTGTCCACATTGATTGTGGCGAGTCTAGGGTGGGTGAGGTGCTATTAAATAAACCTAAACAGCCTGTTGAAACAGTTGTCGAGTCAACGCATTGGCTATTACTATCGACGTCACGTAATGTTAGTGTTGACGATTTCGACAGATTGCTACTCACAACTTGTGGTTTACTATTTTTTGCAAGCAATTTATTTTGCTTTATCACATCTGCATAACTAACTACTTTGTGGGTACATACAACATAATCAGGTTTTGAGTTACATTGATGATAGGATATATAGAAATCTGTTTGTAACCAAATCCACTGCTGGCCTTTGGTAAGAAAGCGGTAATAACACGATTTGCCTTCACCTCTTTGCATAACTGTAAATTTTAGAAAGTAGTTTTCTAATCAATTATTATATATTATAAATATAAACTTAAGTCTTACGTTCTTCATGGCACGACACTATGCTGTCCAAGTCATCGAAGTGATAATAATCATAGCCTGATGTTCCCAGCACTTCAAATGGCATATAACCAATGATAGGTGGCGCTCGATCATCTAAAAATAAAAACTTCCATTCCATACTGTGCTTCGAAACGAATTCATTTCTGGTTGGATCAATGGCAGACATTTCACGTATTAATTGCGGCGTCTGTATACGTCCGGTACCAACAAAAATCAGTTTCTTGTCAACCTCTGCGCCAGGATTCATTTGAAATATTCTTGGTGGTGTTTGAGTATTTGGCGTTGGCATATTATCTACATTGGCATCATTTCCTGAAGATAATAAAAATTTATTATCAAGAAGTAATCTAACTCAAGTCTAAATAATAACTTACTAAAATATCCCACAAACTTTACTAATTCATATGCGTTGGCATCAACCTTTTCAATGCCACCTCTACGAAGATGGACATAGAATGTAATCTGATTGCAGGAATTGATATCAGTCTGCAGTGGTTCTATTACAGGCTTTGGATTTAGAAATATGTTAAGCAGACTTTCGTGATCCGTTTCATAGGCTAAGTCAAATATGGTCATATTTAATAAATCATTCTGTAATAATATATAAATATATAAGAATATGCTGAGAAATATAAAAATCTATATTAATATAAAAAATCCCTGTATACAGATTAATATATACAGGCTGTTTCGTGTCAATGTTGCTCCAACCAAATGGATTGTTTTATGAGACATATGTTATATATACATAAACAATAAACTTACCTTACATGATATTAAATTAAAATAAATACTTACTGGTAAATAACCTAGTAAGGAGGTAATACTTTCGGATGCATAAAATATGGAACCTCTACTGCTAAAAACTATAATGAAACCATCCAGTGATTCCAACATTAGATGTGTAAATTCATCGTTGGTTAAGAAAGATGGTTTCCAGTCTTGCTGTATTTCAAACACTTTCGATCTATCAGTGGCCTCTAAAATATAGTAAACATTTATATAAATATTGATTTATAGGTTATCTATATTTTACTCATTTACCATTGTGATGCTTAAGAAATGCTATCGTTGACTTTAGTACAGTCGACTTATCCATTTTACGGTTGGTTGTTGATATAAGAGCGCTTAAGTCATTTACCAATGAATTAAATTGATCACGACGTTTCTTTTCACTGAGATTCCGAGATTTTCTAAAATATAAGTAAGTAAGATTATTGTATATAACAGGAAAATAGCATATTTTTTCAACAATGAATCTTTTTTTGAGAGCTTAAACTTTTATAGAACTTTAACAAACATTTTTGTGACTAAATATACTACAAAATGGGCAAAAATTTTAAAAATAGGTGTTAGCCATGAGAACATAAGAAGAAAAACTGGTCACATTTCAGAAAGATATAGGTCAGCAGAACTATGTGCTATAATATGCTATATGCAATATTATAAGTTTCCAATTTAAAATACTAGACAAAAAGTATTCTTTGTCTTACAATTAATATTCATAATCGAAATAATTGTACAAGATTCTGAAAGGCTTAAACTATTAGAACACTGTACCTAAAAAAATTCTAAAAATTTCCAGCTTGAAACTCAATTTTTGAGCAACATAGTTCATCGCGTCCTGTAGCAATAGTTCAACAAATTAACTAACACATATAACTATAACACATATTCACATATTGCACATAGAACATTGAAATACATAGACTGGCTGAAGTTCCACTGGAATGACTATTTCAAAATGTGGACTAAAAAACTACCAAATTGATTAATATGTTGCTAACAATATCCTGGTACCTTAGTTTAAATTTTGATCTATATAACTGCGGAATCTAAAACCTTCAGATTTAATAACTTAGGCTTAATATGTTAATACGCTTTTATAGCAAATTAACAAATCTTCATGTTCGAATATACAACTCAATTACGACTTCGGGTCGGTTAACTAATGATCAATGTTCTGAGCTTCAAATTTGGCAGAGTACAAGTTCAACCGTCGGTACTTGCAGTCTCAAAAAATTACTTATAAATAAATAAAAATAAGAAACAATTTGAAGACCTTGCTGATAGGTATTTGGCAATACTCGAAACAGCTGTAAGGTCAGCTACAAACTCAATTAATTAAAAATAATAAAAATTTTCGTCGTTGCAATTCACTACTGTTCGATAAAACCTTGAAAGAAATAGTTTATATTAAGAATTTAGTTTCTTTCACTAAAGCAGACGTTAAAAATTAATTTAAAACAAATTAAACTATATGTCAATAACTGAGTAAAAGTCTTGGTTGGATTTAAGATCTAGTTCTTAGCGAAGAGCTCAGTGTCATCATGATTCTTTTAACGATTCACAGCATTGTTAATATAGTTTTGCAGTTGTTTTCTATTCTACTTTCTATTTTTTTATTCCTCTAGGTTAACGTTCAATATTATGTTTTAAGGATTACTGAGTAGAGATACAATTTGGCGCCTCCAGTTCTATTAAGTACAATGAACTAATAATTATTATCTCATTTTTATTCAAACTTTTATCATCATCGGCATAGAAATCTTTTCCGTATTCATTATATATATATTCATATACATTAAGACCGAAAAGTTTTCGGAAATTCTCATTTAAAATTCGCGCGCTGTATATTTTTCGATATTTTAAGTTTATGTAGTTTGGCAGCACTGTCCTTAATTACTATGCCAAAAATGAGCGCGATCTGTCAGACAGTTCGTTTACGGCAGCTGTTGAAACCAGTTCACCTCAGTAGGGCGTTGCGAAAAAAACAATGGAAAAAAATATTGAACAAAGAGTTTGCATCAAATTTTGTGTTTCGAACGAAATTTCGTGTGCAGAATCGTTGCGAATGCTACAAAAGGCTTATGGGGAATCAGTTTTATCGAAAACTCAAGTTTATGAGTGGTACAAAGCCTTCCAGGACGGTCGTACGACCGTCGAAGACATTTCGCAACGCACTACTGAGGTGAACTGGTTTCAACAGCTGCCGTAAACGAACTGTCTGACAGATCGAGCTCATTTTTGGCATAGTAATTAAGGACAGTGCTGCCAAACTACATAAACTTAAAATATCGAAAAATATACAGCGCGCGAATTTTAAATGAGAATTTCCGAAAACTTTTCAGTCTTAATGTATATACATATAAATTTAACTTATCAACTTTATCATAAATAACTATTATTTCGTTTTCTCTTCATTAGGTACATTTCGGTTGTTTAAAATTGATTTCCGATACTTGAATTTCTCCTAGTCCAAGAATATATAGATTAGAAAATTAAGTAAAAATCTCTGAAGTATAGCAATTGCTTTAAATTTATATCTTTAAAATAAATTCATTTGGCAGAGTTTGTATTATCTTCACCATTTATATGGTAATACTTCTATAATTAGTATATCATTTGCGTTAGTTTGAGTATAACTTTGATTGTTTTGTTGCATTTTTGGATGGGATATGATACAGTATTTTCTGTATGGATGCTTAATGTGTGGCGAAGTAATCTATTAATGTTGATAAATATATGTTGAATTTTCGACTATAAAGTACATATGATTGGTGAATTTTAAATATGTGTTGATTACCCATCCAACAATTTTGTTGTCATTAACGAAATTTAGAACTCTTCAATTTAATTTAATTTTTTCTACCTCAGACCTTAGAAATAGCTTCGCTACATATTAGTTTCAGATGTTAGCAATGAGTTAAGGAGTTATCGATGGCATGCAGGGTGCCAATTTTTTTTGTGGCACTCTAGGTGTGCCCTTATTGTGGCCTTCAAAACAAAAGTTGTCCAGGATGGTGTAGAGATACTCAGGTTATTTCTTTGTAGTGGATAAACTAACAACCTTTTTTAAGAATATGGTAATGAATGAAATAACCACGTTAATCGTGAAGATTTAACGGCGATATTTGGAGATTGTGACGATACACAAGATTTGACTGGAGGCTCAGATATGTTCATAGATTACGAATTCCAAGATATTTTTGAATTAAATGAGAGTAAATTTCTTATCTATTTTAATATTTGGCGGGCAAAACCTTAAAAGTCGAAATATCAAGAAGGTTAATTTGGATATTACAGATAAACATATATGGATATAGGTTTATATGCATATATGTATATATATAATTGTAGTTATTTTTTAAAATTAAAATATTAAATAAATTTACCGTGTATTCTTATACAAGTACTGATTTGAGTAAAGTAAAGTTTTGGGAAATCCAAAGATAATGTGTCCATATGTTCATTAATATACAATTTTTATAATTATTAAAATTTTTCCTTTAATTTTGCTAATTATTTATCAAATATAGTCATATTTCAATTTTTAAACTCGTTTTATTTTGTCGTGCATTGAATGTACAGGTGAATCCCATTAGCTCTAGCTGAGGAGATTTCCATGTATCTCGACAACTATTGTCATTTTAGATTTAATTCGCTACAGTAAGTCTTGGCGTGCGTCTGACAGCGACTTGTCATTTGGCATTTGTTTGGGCTTGCAAAAAATAAATAAACAAGAAAAAAACCTAAAAATCTAGTCGACTTACGTGCATGCAACGCCAACGTAGGAAGCAAGGATGCAAACAGAAAATGTTTGGTGGTGGAATTGAAGGATTGTTGTTCCATTTGTTGCCATAAATACATATGTTTAATATAATCATATGTTTGTTTATTTAATTGTCTCACACACACAAAATGTTGTGGAAAACGTGATTTACTGTCCAAATCAATAAAGATACTGTCAGCAACAAGCAGAGAAAGTCTTTAAAATCACATGCAAATTTTTAACTCAGCTAAGGAACAAAAACTGTTTTCTTTCTGAATTTGAATAAATAAAAAAATTGGATATAATTGTTGGATGCTGGAAATCGAAGGCTAAGTCGAAAATATGTTAAAGTCCTTCGCACCTTAATGCGAAAAAAATGATTTACACACCGAAATCAATACCGATGACGTGGAGGAAAATTAATTTTCCTCTTCCAAATTGAATTGCATAACCTTTGTGATTTGACCAATCACCAATCAATTGGTTTTCTCTGTGACAAAGTGTTGCTATGTGAACCAGCAACCCACAGTTGAGCATTTGCATCAATAAGCCGAAGCACAATTTTTTACTGAAAATGAATTTATGCAATTAAATACACTTAATTAATGGAACTGATAGCGGTTTGTTTCATTTATGAAATAATATTCAATTTTTGTTGGGTTGCGCCCACATTAAAGCACATTTGATTAGGTTTCTGCTTTAATACTCTTAGGCTATGTCTACATCGCTACCGTAATCAAGTTTAATCTAATTTAAAGGAAAATAAATGATTGCATGGGTGGTAGTTGGCTAAGCAGACAAGCTAAGGGTTGTTATTAGAAGATATGGCTTTCCTGTACTTTTATTCACTAATCAACTTGTGATCGCGAGCAAATCCAAGCCCCCCGTCTGACTAACTGATATTTGAGATTATCATTTTACAGATTGATAAAGTATTTTCCGGGGTTGTTTTTGTTCATGGAACCAAGTTTATAAATAAATATGTGACGAATATGGATATATTATTCACATCATTGATATGTCAGACGAAAAAAATTAAAGAAATTGATGAGTACAATTCCTAACTCCAATATTAGTGTATTGATTGAGTTCTACAACAAATTTCTTTTGTAAAAACACATTAAACTCCTTTAATGAGTCGGTGTATATAAAGCTTTATTGTTACATTTACCTACAGTACTAGTATATTATTTGTTATTTATTTAAACAGTTTTAATAAATTACTGTAAATATTGTTGTGAATATGGAATTTAAGTAAACTTTGATATAATTTCTAGGAATGTTTTGATATATATTGGTTGTTATTAAGAAAAATTGTGCTTGTTTTTAACAAAGTACAGAGCATAATAAATACGGTTACATTAAACTCAAGTTGACTATTAATTTCTCATCAGGATCCAGTAATCGCGAACGACCACGTAAATAGGGTGGAACAAACGCAATAATATATTCAATTATGTGAGTCCAGTAAATGTATCAAATAGAGTTTAATTTCAATATGATAATATACTGGCATTGCCACTAATGAAAAATCTATATAAATTTTAAAAACTCGCAACTTCTAAATGATACCTATCATGACATTCGAACGATCACTTATTTAGTTGTAGCTGTTTTATTGGCGCTACTTTATGCTATATATTTCTGGAAAATGGATATCATGAAGCTAATATCTTGGCTTGAGAACTGCTACCCGCTACTGCTACTTTAAATTTATGTCAAGTAGGTAAGTATGGCCGACTACTTTTCTACTTTAAATACGTCACACTTTAGCTGAGTTCATCCATTGTGATATCACAGCGGTGCCTTATTATATTTTAATGTTTTTTAACCATTCTGACCATGGTAATTCATTTTTGTAACCTTGTTAGATTCGTGCTCCCAACACATCAAATAAATTTCAGCTGATATATGCTTACTATAACCACATACGTTAGACAGAATATAATAGTTTCTTCTCCTTGTTCATCAATACTTCCCAAATTTTTATTTGACAAATAATTGGAACTATCCGATATATAAAGTCTCTAGTAAGTAATAGTCTTACTTAATATAGCCAAATAGAATTTTTTCATTAGTATGATGTCTTGTGGATACTTATTTATTATGGCTGTTCTTTGTTTATTAACTTGGTACAGCCTACTATTATTGACTTATCTGTAGTCATTGAATATAATACTATTTCTTCAAGGATATCGTCCCATATGGTTATGTTCGATGATAAAGTCTGTTAGCATTGAAATATTATTTCTTTGCAAAATAAACCTTTCTTTGCACTTGAATATCAAAGGTTCAAATTTTGTCAGATGATTCTTGTGTGAATATATCGTGTTACGATTTAAACTTTCATAAATTTTTTTTGTACTACGTTTGTTCAAAAAGTAGGATGAATTTTTCTCCTCGAAAAGTATTTAGTTATTCATCAATACCTTTTTTATCTTCATCAATACAGTTATACTTCTCCCGGTGTATTATACTTCTGTTCCAACACTTCTAATATGCCCTTTTTGTTGTCGTCATCAGTCTTTCTTTTGAGGATTGAGGATGAGAATGTTTTATCTTCAATCATGTCAACCTTTCGTACTTTCATGAGATTCTTGAATTTATGAGTCTCTTCCTTTAAGTTTTGAAAAGAGGAAAAAGTGCAGATTGAGCTTATTTCTAATTCTTTACAAAATATCTCACAACCTTATTACATTATTATAAAATTTCAAACGAACAACATGAAAGGTGGTATTATCGATACATTCTAATGTATTTTCTATCAATAATTGGTTGACTAAAATATTAAAAAGATTTGACTTAAGAAAGATTTCACAGTTTTCCTACGAAAAGTAGCTTCAAGCTTTAACTCATATTAATGAAATTAAGCTTATATAAAAGGTTTTAATAACTACATATACCGATTTTTATTGTGACATTATCACTGATAATGATATAACCTACACCCACAGATTCGATTTTTTTTTAGCAATACAAATTTGAAGAAAAATATTTCAGATCTGAAAACTGAAATTCCGAAACATTATCAAGGCTTACAAAATAATATTAATATGATAGTAATTATTTTATTTATCTTACAAAACATAAGACACTTGAAATCCTTTAAATAACTATTCATATTGTCTCTCAATGTAGTCTTAGTTCATTATTTTGCTCTTTGAATATATTTATGAATATGATAATAACTCTACACCTACTCAATTGCAAGACTCAATTGCGAGTGAACACACTTTGTGGCACGCTTCAGCTTTTCTTAAAAAGATTTAAGCCGTCCTTAACACCAAGAAATACCGAGTATTTCTTATTAGCAATTCTCAAATACTTCATCTAAGATAAGCAGAATGGACGAAGTATAAATTATAATCACTTTCTGATACATGCCAATTTTTGATCATATCTTATCACACTGGCCAAATCAAAGACGATTGGTCTATATACTTTAATTCTATAACTTGGGACTTTATTTATTGGAACAAAAATTTTGAGAGAGTTGAGGTTTTCTGCAAAAATTTGAAATTTTTAAAGTAAAAAAGTTAACTCTTATTACCACAATTCCGCATTCATTTAAATTTTATTATTGTTTATATATAACAAATTAGGAGATATCTGTTATTAAATCTAAGAATTTCTGAAATATTGAAAAATTTTTAGTAGTGAAAATTTTGTGGATAAAGTTTTCTTTTCGACATCCCGCGTATTGATAAATTTTGAATATGGACTTCATTTTCTTTTAATTTTTCGACCAAAGAATTATCACCGAGCTTTATGGTTCGAAATAGTTAAAAATACTAAAAGTAGAACAGTTACAATGCTAAGTGTTTGCTAACTCCAAGATTATCTTAACCATTGAATTATTGAAAACACTGATAATCCGCCAATAATTAAATTAATACTACTATAGTAAATAAATAATTTTAATACAAACTTATAAAGTTAGACATTTCTTAACTCTTTAGAAACTTAACACTTTCTAAAATAGTTTGGCATCCTGATCTTGATTCAGATTTCTATCTTACTTATGAACGTAGTTTTTCGATTTTTAAATAAATCGTTAGTTTGTGAAGTATAGGTCTAAGTAATATTTTTATTTCTACTGAAATTATAAGAACTTCGAGTCTCGTAAGTGATGAATTTTATTAAATTGGTATTGGGAGTTCTGATCTATATAGCAAATATAAAAAACATTTGAGAAGTTTTTTTATTTTACTGAAATTTAAATACTCATAGTGTCCATCCTAAAGTATTACTCGTAGAAAATCATTAAATCAAAAAATAAGATAATACTTTAAATAATTTGAATGATTGGTTTTGAAAAACATAGCTACACACAGTGGTGAATCTTTTTTTATAAAATTGCAACATCACATCTTTATATTTTATGACCCTACATATATTTTAAATTAGGATCAGTATTAGTTGATTAATAGATATATCACAGTTGAATATGTCAAGAAGCGGAAATTGAAATTGGCTAACCCTATTATGAAAATACTGAAAAGAAGATCAAAGTTAAAGGTTTTAATTGTTGACTTGCGAAGGAACAAGAGAAAAGGACATTATAGAAACTCGAAAGTAGACGTCACTAACTGGCAGATAGAAGTAAAATATCAGCAAGAATATAATGCGATAGATTTAAGCCTTTTAAGAATTCTTACACCAAAGAAGAATATATTTCAGTTATCTTATTAATTACAAAAAAAACGAAAATGTAATTTTTCTAATACTAGTTCTCTTTTAAGGTTTCGAATTGTCTATAAATTGTATTCAAATATAATTAAATAAAAATTATATCTAAAAATAACAAGTAAAAGTAATCACAGCACACATGGTCTTATATATATATATATATATATATATATATATATATTAGATATATAGTAGAATATAGACCTAGATAGCTTATGATCTCATCCAGACATATCAAGCTTTAAATTTATAAACAATTCCTTAAATCCTTGAAGCTACGATGCTTGATTCTAAGGAAGCACTAGTCTGGCTAACATAAATATGGTACAACGACTTCAGAATATCTTGAAGACAATTCTAGTCTTCAAAGCTTCTCGGATCGTTAAAAGCAGTTATAAAACAAAAATCTTTTAGAAGCACTAAATACCTATTAAAGACAATCAGTAGATGAAATACTTTAAATTAAAAAATAATTTTATTTACTTATTTATAATAATATTAATAAATTAATGTGTTAAAATTTGTCGTGATTTTTAAAATGTTGTTCTGTTTTGGTATAATTGGACAAAGAGGTTAAAGTAATGCTCCCCAAATCATAGGTCTAGGAAGCAACATGCTTATTTATAAATTCACTTATAAAATATTAACTCCGATACAAAATGAATACTATTTTAAGCTTCTTTCTTTTGTAGGAAGTATTAAAAAAAATTTATAATGTTATACTTGATATTAAAAGAGTATCATACAGGTCTTATTTAAATTTATGTGTACAGATCTCTGATGAAATGTAGATCACTTGAATAAAATAATTTGAAAATATATTTATTTCTGACGTTAAATTTTATTTTGATTATTTAAGAACGATTTTAAATAAATTGATTTAAAAACAAGCGTTTCATTTGAATTCTTTCTTTCACATTATAAACTCGTATGTTATATATAATCGTGAATTTCTATTATAGAACACAATTTATATAAAAATAGAAAGTAGAGCAGTTCATGAAGATTACTTCTGAAAGTTGTTACAAAACCCGGCTTACGTAGTCGGCAGACAATGAAATAAGTATATAAGAGAAGAAGTCATATATGTTCAACTCACCTTTTTGTGTCATCTTTGTCATCGCTTTCGTCTTCCATCTTTGAATTTATTAAGTAATCCAGTTTGATGAAATATTGCAGACCAGTGCAATCCGGCGCAAGGTAAACAAATTTTGTTGGAAATCAATTGAAACCAATTGAATAAACAATAATTTTTATTTTCAATTTGGAAAACAAAAAAATTAAAAATTATTTTATTTTAAGAAATGTACAAAACTTCTTTGATTTTTTAAAAGATTTCACATTTTTAATTTCATTTTCCATAATTTTTATTTAATTATTTTTTTAATAATTTCCTATTTTTTAAGTTATATTGACTTTATAAAAATCCAAATTTCGTTGAGACGACATTTTCGCCATATAGTTTTTGTAGTTTAATTATTTTTTAAATCACTTCACGATTTTTTTTTTATTTTGAATAATGTATTTATTTAATATATATTTTTGTTTTTTTTTTTGAATATTTTATTTGTATAAAAATATTATTTTTTTATTACTTTCAAATGTATTTATTTTTTTTCACTTGCAATCTGTTAAACATTAATTCAAGCAACGCGTCCATATGCAACAAGTGCAGCGTTAAATCTAACCGGATGTTTGGCTAAGAAAACAGAAGAAGTTCTAAGGATATTTTATAGAAACACCACACACACACAAACAAACAAACAAACAAAAATTTTTATACATTGAAATGAATAATTGTGTTTTTGCGTTGTAAGATTGTATTGGTTATATTCATGCGTCGGCAGTTTGTACGATGGGCATTGTTTATTTCATACACTGGTATTAATGTCTTATTTAAATGTGTTCGTGTGTGTGTATGTGTGTGTATAATTCACTCTGCTTCCGTTCGTTCGCTTATACTTTTTTGTCCAAATCTTGCTACGTTTGTGCAATTACGTAACTGGGATTATTGTTGCGCATGCCTAGCACCATCAATAAATGCCATGTAGGAAATTTGCCGACTGATGTTTGGCTATGTAAACCAATGAATGCAAGAATGCATTTTCAACCCTCAAAATTGGTTTAAAAATAAATTCCGTTTGTGTGTTGACTTGAAAAGCTAACGTTCACAGCTTAACAATCACAGAATAAAAAAAAATAAATAAATAAAAAAAAAACAGAAACAGAAAGGTAATAAATAAACGGAGAAAAGTTAATTCACAGAATTTTAATTCCATAGCGACCATGACAACATTATTGGCTAGGATGATTTTGAGCAACTTATGCTCAATTAAATACTGCAATTAGGTTTGTATTGCATATGTGGAGAACAGATGGTACCCAAGCCAAGGTTAACAATTGTTGCTAGAATGAATGAACAGAATGAATTGGGTAATACGTATGGATGAAAGGATTGCTGAATATTTCGTAATGTTGCTGTTATAATTTCAGTAATAACTTTTAACCAATCAAATTTAGTAAATGCAAAAATCATGATATGTTTCTGGAATAGGGGAATGAGTAAGACATATTTATTTATACGATATATAATATAAGTACATAATACGTGAATAGTAGAAAAAGAAAAAAAGCTATTTCTAGAGGTGAAACCATTCAAAACATTTTCTGTGTATAAAACATAAGTCACAGATCCCTGTAGAGCTATATTAAATGGTGTCCAACATTTCTTTACATATGTATAATTTATTATTTTATAAGATGATTATATTTTTTTAAATTTTTGCTATTTTTATATATAAAAAATAAATTTCAGATTTTTCATTTAACCTATTATAATTCCTGTTCTTATATATATATATAAAAATTAGTCCCAGATTTTTCTAAAACTGTTTTAATTCCTGTTCAAAATTTTGTTCTATATTTCTACATGATTTATATAATTCATTTTATATCCTTCTATAATTTAAATATTCAAAAACTTTTTTGAATTAAAATTAATTACATATTTTTCTAAAGTTGTATTAATCACTCTCCAAAATTATTTAATTAATTTATTATTATTTACTTATTTAAATGGCTATCAGAATCCGTTACCGGTATTCGTCCTAACGCAGCATTTCTCTTCAGGCGTCTGTACTGTGCACTCGCCTTCACCAGTCTCTTATATCGTTTAGTTAGCGCTACCTCTAACGGAAACGAATATATATTAATAAGATATAAAAAATATAGCAAACAAACGGGACAAACTATAATTTATTAGGTTAATTACTTAGCCTTAACTTGGGTTTCATATGCTTAATAAACAATAACATCAGCTAAGATACTGAAGAGCCACCCTGAAAAACTCCCTGCATAATAGGGCACGTTATGAACTGGGTCTACGCTATAATGGGTTTTGTTGCGGCAGCAGCTCTGAGGATGAGTAGGAGACTGTGCTCCATTTCATGTGTCAGTACCCATATATAGCTAGAAGAAGATTAAAATATGCGGTGCTCCTATTCTTACCGAACTGACCGAGCTTTAATCCTGTTATATTAGGAACTTAGCCAAATTCATGGTTCTGTGAGGTTGGTTTACCTGTACCTAATGAGGGAGTCGTTGCCTGTTACTGACATTTTAGTCTATGTACGAACCAACTTTATTCCTGCAGTACCACAATAGCCATTATTTAACCTTAAGTTGGCTTTCTTTCATTTATATAAAAAGCAATTGAGGACGAGAGGTCTTAATACCGACTTTAAAATCATCCAATATTCAAAAACTACTCAAAGTTTTTACGAATAAGTGTCTGTAATAAAATCTATGGGCTAGGACAAGTAAGCCGTAAATAATTGTCGAAACGCAAGGGCGGAAATTGTTAAGGATCAGACATATACTCCAGGGGTCTGTGTATAACTTTGCATAACAAGCATTTCGTCACAAACCATAATGAAGTAGCAACGAAGAAAGTCAGAAAGTATATGGTTTAGAAAGCTAAATATAGAACTAATGTATGTTGTATCCATATGTTACGACATGATGTCACTGTTAACTCAGCAAACAGAATAAGTTTTTCGTCGATTACGGATGTTTTATGCTTTATAACGAACGTAATTGTATTCTTATAATATAAGAATTCTCAAAATTTTTAGAATTACTATTCAGGTATTCAGATAAAAGATACAGCCCACTAACATAACACCAAAACCTGCAATATAAGTCAAAAGTCTTTATTGAATTTCATATATACTTAATCTGATTTTTTGATTGATACAAAAAGAATTAAATTAAAAAATGAATTATAAATATATCAGGGTAATTTATGCTTGCCATACGTGTTAGTATAGAAGATGGCTGAAAGTCGGAAAAGACCACACTTAAACAGATTCTTACAAAAACTAACAGGGCGCAAGTGTGAAGAAAGACAAGGGGGTCGTCAGCATTAATTGTATATATTGGAAAAGTGTTAAAAAGGAAGCTTTATTAGTATTACTCAATATGAATCATGTCATATATACACTTTAAACTGTTAATAGGAACAATTTTAGAAGATAAGTACAGATTTAATGCAATGAAAGAAACGTTGGAAGCCGTTCATGTTTTTATTATCATAACGAATTGAATAAAACTGTCTAAACATTAATAAGTTACTAGCTATTTTTAATATTTAAAAGCACATTGGTGTATGATATCTTTTATAATACATCTGGAAAAAGTATCCCAAACTAGCCCAGTGGAGTTTAGGTTGGAATGGTTAACTCAAACTACAGAAAAACCGAACAATATGCTATTTGGCTTCAGTTTCCAAGTTTTATTCGATTTCATAGTGGCCGTAAGGCGGTAAAGAACTTGTTTATTGACAATCGCAAGACACTATAGGATGAATTGAGTTAAAGGTTCATACTGCATTTTACAATTTACAGAATCTTAAGGTGCTGGTATCCTTAAGTTTCATGCTCAATTAGGTTACTAACGATTAATCTGAGTACTGATCTGTTTAAAATGAAATATCCGTCATATTTGTTGCTTACTCCTTTAAAAGAAAGTGTTTAAAATGAAAAATCCGCCATATTTGTTGCCTACTCCTTTGAGTTGTTTGAAATTATTTCGATCAATGGATCCATTTTAGTACATTTTTGTGTGAGGCACTTAATTTTTATAAAAAAGCAATATTTATTTATAATTTTTTATTAAAATTTTTTAATTTGTTCAAGTAATTATGCAGTCTGACAAAAGTTAATTCGCGGATCCATACGTATGAAACAGTATATATTTTATGCATATTTTATTCACAAGAATGAAGATGGTTAACTTTATCACCTACACAAATTAAATGACTTCATAAATTTTATTTCTTCTGATTTAATGATAAAATAGCTGAAAAAATCTTGAAAGTAAAAGGTGAATAAATTATTTGAAATCAAACAGAGTGAAGGGTATTTAAAACCAAGTTTAATTTTCGTTTTAAGATGGTTCGAATCTTATTTGAGACTATAAAAGCAAATTGCTCTCTGAGATTTAAATTTACCGGATAATAAAGTATCAATTATTTCCGTCATTAAATTCTTTATTATTAACTAACAAATTATATGTATGCATATATGTACTTAATATACATTAAATTATTTACTTATTGATATAAAATTTAAAAAGTTTTTAAATTAATAATATATAATAACAAAAAGAAACTTTTACGAATAACATAAGAAAATATATACATATATTATTTTTACTTCATAAGACTTTTTCACCCTTTATGCTATTTTAGATAAAAACAACTGTTTTAAGAGTTACAATTTCAATTAATTTAACTTAAAAGGTGTTTAATTGCAACACCGAATGGCTTCCTCACAATTTCTTAAGTCGAAACATTCAAGAAAATTTGCATCAAACTTTTGTCAAAGAAGCAAGAAAATTCATTTTAACTTTTTGACGACGTCGAAGTCCTATAAATTTCTTCCAAACAAACAAATAAACCGACTTGCATATCAAATCAAAAGTTAAAATTTATTGCAACAAAAAATTTTTATTTAAAAATTCAATAATTTTAAAATATTAATTAAATTTTGTATGGAAATCGTTTAATTTATAATCCAGTCGAAGCGTTTAAAAAGTACGAGGTACGGAGAGGTCACATGAGAAAATTTTACAATCCGATTAAGGACTCAAAGGACAACAAACGCACAACAAACAAAAATTATTGATGTAAATAACTTTTGATGTGATTTTCATATGTGAGAAGATAAATCCAGTAGTCAAGCATTTAACGAGTGATAATTTCCCAGTGGCATTTCTCTACAT